GGCACAAGTGTCTGCAATCCTCCGTATCTACTGCTGTGTAATCACGTGATATGTTTTCACTTTGCCAGTCTCGGTAAGTGGCTAGCTTCGTACGCAGAATGTCAGGTGGGGAGTTTTCCAGAATCATCGTTCATCAGTGTTGCTCGCGCCGCTATCTATGTCTATCTAGGTCCTTCCTGCTGTGATCGCTCCCCATGCATAGCCAGAAAGTAGAATAGCGCGTTGGCAATTACTCATCGATTTCGTCCTTGGTGGGCAGGTCAATGGCACGATAGAGCAGAATCAAGGCAGAAGCACTCTCGCCACCACCCGCAAGAGTCATAATCCTCTCTGCGTCCACCTCACTGACCTTGTCATCGTTGAACCACCACCACTTGCCATCTTCCTCTTTGCGCTTGCCGCCCGGCGCCTTGGGATCATCGACCAGCCGACCCTGCTTCTTCACAAAACTCGTGTAGTGGCCACTGTCAGCGCTTGCACCCTGGTGAGTGATGACTCCTCTGAGCTCATACAAGCCCGACTTGTTTGCTCCCTCGTCAGCTGCGAGCTCGGGGTCGATCACTTCGAACAGTTCCTTCTTGGCTTGTTTGATTGATGCTGCGCGTTCGGCCTCATACTCGGCGTCCGTTTTGTAGACATCCATTTCGCCACCCTCTGGCTCCTTGCTCTTCGAGTCCTTTTTCTCCTTATGCTCCCTTAGCTTGGCAATGGGGGCAGCCTCGGCAGCCTTTAATGCTTCGTCATGTGCACGGTCCGCTTCTTGCTTGTGGGCAAGTTTTTGTCTCTTTCTAGCCCGCTCAACGTCCACTTCATCCTTACGGATATTGCGAACCTTGTCGCGGACTGGAATCAGTCGCTTCCTCAAGTCGTCAGTACAGAACTCGACCACGTCCAGCTCCTCCGGAAAGGTGACCTTGCGCATGATCTTCGTTTTCTTCTGGATGTCTTTCCTCCAGTAGAATCGAACGAAGTGCACCGTCAGGTATTGAGGTAGTCGAGATATCCGCGATGTCTTCACGTACGTTGCGTCACGATCGAGGGTTGGGGAACGCTTTTCAATCTCCTCGGTCAGACCAGCGAGGATTCCATCTCGAAGGTGGTTGATTGTCTGATCAATATGGCAGTCCAGCTTCAAAAAGGTGTCGTCGGACTCGACCGTAGGTTCGTTGTCTCCCACCTCGGCAGGTGGAGCAAGGGAGGAATGGACTGATCCAGCCATGTAGCGATCTATGAAGGTAATGGCTTTCTGATCTTGTGTATGTCCATCTGTGATCTTGAGCTTTCCCCGTAACTGGTGGACTATCTGTGACCAAGCCTCTTCCGCGTCCTGCTGAGCATAACCATGGCCGTTCTTTGCCTTCTGAGCGAACTGAGGATAGATGGCCCGCAGAGAATTGAGGAACATCAGGGGCGGTAACCCTTCTTGCGTTTCAGACATCTGCTTGTAGAGGTCGCGCAGTTGGGCGGTCAAGTCGTTACTAGCGCCGAGCCCGCTGAGCCCGTGGCGACTCAAATCTTGCAGACTGCCAGTAGACGATTCGGCCTTGTAGATTTTGAGGGTGTCTTGCATCTCGGGGATGCTGCGAAGGACTTGGAGAGTAGAATTCAGGTAGCAGGTGTTTCCCAGGTTCTGGAGGCCGGCCGGAGTAGCACCTTCTTGAGCGGCGGCTTCGGCTTCGGTCATGTCCTCAGCGAACTTGATCTTCTCGGTAGGCGGCGCGATCAGTGCGCTACCCTCGCCAGACGCAGTACCGAGCATGGTGAAGATCTGACCGGGTTTTGCATTGAGCTTGGACAAATCGGTGTCATCTTTCAGCTTGCCACCTTTGATGAGGAGAGATTGACGGTCGGGTTCGACGCCCGTCAAAGAGAATAGCTGGAACTTGAGGACTTCGCCGGTCGCGGAGGGGTCAAGATCGACATCGTACTTTTTGCCCTGGTGCTTGACAACAACTAGGGGCAGGTTAGATTTGGTCTTTGATCGCGGCTGTCTGTGGCCACTTACTGGGAATGGTCGCCATGGTGTCAGCCTGAGTCTGCGGAGAAGACACGAACCAGCAGGTCAAGATGTAAATGCAGAAAGGCAGACGATGGTGAGCACGAGCAGTGAAAATAAATGCGGTGATTTGAAATTGGATCTAGAAAGGCGGCGAAATACTCGTACAGTATGCAAGGCTCTGGACCGCCAGGCACAGAAACAGCACGTCACCGGCCGCTGCAATCGCTGCTGGGCGACTGCTGGGCGACTGATGGGCGACAGCCTCTCCCGCTTCCCCACCATCGTGGTCTCTAACTCAATCGAGTCGCCAAGCTGTGGCAGCCACAGGTGAGCATAGGGACGCCCAAACACATCTCCGCGTGCCTGCGGATGACGGATCTTGCGGACCGCTGTATACTTCCCCTCCAACTGTGGTCTTCCTCAATTTTGGAACCGTGTTCAACTTAATACAGTAGACCTGCCAATTGCTCTCGCGAGTAAGACAACGAGACAACACCCCTCCACGTTGAGGTCCTTTGTCTCCCAGATCACCATCAATGCGTCGTTAAAACACGTCCATCTCCCACAGACTTCTTGAGTGAGCGCACTTGAAAATGGTAGGCCTTCTGGTGAAACCCTCTCCGTCGTCGAGAATGTCGCTGACGCTCCACGCAGTCCCAATCGTTGCGCCCCTATCTTCAATGCGTCCGTTCCTCGCTGACCGCCGCTCTTTCACTTTCGAACTTCGCCTCTCAAGCGTCAGAAAGACATAATGTCCCGGAGATCGAGGCACAAAGCTCCCCAGAAGTCTTATTGAACCCACTCACCGTCGCTCGCAACGAGAATGAGAAAGTCTTCATCGAACCCAGTGTCAACAGCGTGCGCGTCAGCATAAGAATAAAGCAGGCTGATGAGATTGAGAACATCCTTGTCCACAAGTTCACCCGGTTCCTCACTCAGCGTGCGGAATCCTTCTTTATTCTGCGGCGCAAGCCGGTCAAGGTCAGTAGCGACGGTTTTCTTGCGGCTCAAATCCGCTAACAGCGAAAGGGATACGACATATCTTTCCTGATCACCAATACTCATACCGAAGAAATGCTCAAGCATAAGTTGGTTGATTTCATCATTCAGTTCATGGAGGAGGTGGACAAGGAAATTTCGGAAATGAAGCTCTTCGTACGCTATCAGCCTCTCAATTGGATGCCGGTACACTAACACACTCATCAGCTCAACGCCCGAGCCAGATTTGTTGCTGAGTCATTCTTGACCCCGGTACGTCCTGGCGTCTTGTAGGTGCTTGTTGATGCTGACAAAGTGCAGTTTGACTAGATGTGGGCGAGAAGATACTTTGGCACAACGAGCTGTAACGAAATCAATGCAGCCATGTGGTTCCGACGCCCGCCACGGTATTCCAGCCCGCGGCACTGAATGAGCCGCTGAGCTCTCACAAGGCTGAATGCGCAAGGCTGCAAAGCGGAATACGGCCCCTGAGATCATGTGACATGTGCAACAGCACGCCTTCACGAGAAATGCAGGGCAGAAGCTATCAACGTGTGATGAGATCCTGACCACGATCGACCATGAATCCAAACAATTACCATGATTGAGACATGCCTGGTACCTCCTGTGTGGTACTAGCTACAATTGTTCACCTGAGAGCCATACTATTTCTTCCCACGACTGTCCAGACATGACCATATGTGACACTTTTGCTGACTGTGAACGACAGTCCTTGTGTGATATGTGTTTTTGTTGAGCACCTGGTTGATTTTCAATGTCTCCAAAGCGAAAGTTGGATTCCTGGACAAAAACAAAGTTCCCCTGGTCTCATGGATACGACCGGACCTCTGTCGATACACATTTCACAAGAACAATTTCTGCTAACTAGCGCGTGGCGGTCAGGACTTTGCCAAGGAACTTCTGCATTCAAGCAGCGACATTAAGGGTTAACAGGCAGGTGAGGTGAGAATAGGCACTTTCCCTTCTTTCAGAGCTTGGGATTGTGTCGCAGCCTTCGACTCGTTACCAAGTTTTGCGGAGCATCGAGAACTCCAGTGACATGTCAAGCTTGTGCCAGCAGATCTGAACTTTTGACTTGTGTTTCGACACTGCCTCTTCGTCGAAGGGTGAATAGTCAGTGGACGACGCGCTCCTCTCCTCCATCTCTTCGACCTCGTCGTCTCTCTTTCTTCTTCGTCTTCCCTCTCACCCTTCTTTCTCTTCATCTTTCCCCCACCCTTCTTTCTCTTCATCTTTTCTGGTATACCCTCCAAGATCGTCATCATGGACGGTCCTGGACAGTACCAGTCTGCTGACGGGAAAGACACACCCTGTTTCTCCTTCACTCAATCGTCACAACGTCCCCAAACACCTTCTGGGCATGGTCGGGTACCGCTCTTTCAGCCTTTCAATTTCTCAAGCATGGCACAGCAGACTCCTGTGACGCCTCAACGAGGAACAAATATCCCACCTCAGCAGCGTGGCGATTTTCACCCTCGGGTTATGAGAGGTCCATTGCCAGCAAACGAGCTCCCTGTCCTGGCTCTAGCTAACCCTTCAACCTCTGTGCCGGCCGGTCAGCCAATCGTGGGAAACCTGTACCACGGTCCAGTGACAATGGCACAAACAGAGGTGATGTTCGACCCAAGTACCCCTCCTCCTTTTGCCGATCGGGCGCAGATGCAAACCCCTCGACGACATGGTGTTCTGAAGATCACAAATGTAAGTCTGCTCTGCCGAATCCCCGTGAACCCGCCCCAAATCAGACTGTCGCACAATGTGCGTGTTCCTCACATATCCGTCATGTCGCTGTCTGTTCTGAACTCGAGCCACTCTGGGCAAATTCCCCAGATCGGCTGGGTTCAGAAAGTGTGCGATGTGGGATTTATTTCTTTCCACTAGACCTCCTATGTGGTTGCCGCGGCCTTGCTATTTTTTTCTCGTCCTCTTCAAGCAGTCGTGATAATGGAGCTGACACCATCTCAATCTCTCCCAGATCCCCTACACGATCAGCATCCCAGAGATGCACCAGTTCATCGGAAAGTACCTGCCTATGAGCCACTTGATCGATGCCCACATTCTCGGCTACCCCACGCACATCATCATGGAAAGATCAACGGGTAAAACCATGGATTGCTACATGGAAGTCAAGTCGCCTGAGATGGCTGCGGCAGACTGGGAACATGCCTTTGGAACGAAGCAGATGCGGATCCCCAAGATCGGCCAACGCAATGTTGAAGTCAGCCTTAGCAGTCAGGCAGAACTTATGAAGGACATTTTTCCCCGTGCGAAGTGCATCTTGTGGGATAACGATGGGAATGGCACTCCGAAGCTCATTCCAAACCGTGATGTGTACTCATCTGGCTTCAATGGCTTCATCACCACCGAGGAACTCACGTGTATGGCTCGCCATGCTGAGACGCCGCAACGTGTCAGTATTGGCCTTCCAAGTCTTGCATCTAACATTGAACTGACACAGTGTCCCCCTTTAGTCGCAGTTCGCTGCTCGAAGCATGCATCGTGCGTATGAGTGCATGATCTCCACGGCCTACAAGGTAAGCTCCTTCAGCACGCCAAGGCAAGATATCTTCTCATACGCTTGCAGTTTCCATGGTACGCTGCATCGCTGTACACAATGCGCCACGTCCTGGAGATCTTCAAGACATACAAGAAACAACTCGACACCCTGATCGGGAGACTGACTTCACCGGGCATGCAACGTGAAGTTGGCCTCGACAACAAACTGCTTATGGATTTGATCTTTGCTGGGCTCAACACTCCTGGATTCTCAGAACGTCAGAAAGGCCTCATTGCCGATACCTGCATCGTCCTTGGTACTGGCTTCCCAGTTTCCAAGCATGCGCGCACCTGGCCTTTTCAGACTCTTTCCGTTCATCCCCACCAGCTCTCGGATCAAGACGTCGCCATGTGGCTGGACGTTTTCGCTATTGGCGTGAACGTCATGGAAAACCAGGGTCGACCGTTCATTGGCATCTCTTCCTATCTTCGGGTCATTCGCGACAGCGATGGTCATGTCCTCTTCGTGCCGACCGAACAAGGCCTTGACTTGAAGAGAGCTCAGTTTGCCATCCTGGAGAAGAAAATGGTGCTCGATATAATGGATTACGGCTGGAATGTCTATCTCCCGCAGATGGGCATTGACCCCACGACCATCTTCGATTCCCCGACCACCCAGGCCATCAAGAACAGCTTGGCCGAAGACTCCGCTCCCTTCAATCCCGTTGCTTCTTCTGGCTCTACCGGCAATAGCACGACATTCGCGGAGACTGGCGCATACATCGTCGACGACAGTGGACATCGTGAGCCAGCCAGCAACAATGCTGCTTCTGACAATATTGAAGATGACTTTGAGTTTATTCAAGCCGGAGCCACGGGTGTGAGCAGCGACTCTTTCAGCGACCCTGAGCAAGCACTCGCTGCAATGCGGCAAGTCGTTGATCAAGTCCGTGAGGCTCCGCCGGCTGAGCAAGACGGCCATACCAACCTTGGTCGTGCCGACTTCAGCCCCGAAGCCAATGATCCTGGTCCCGGGCAGAACGAAATGGTCCCCAACAATGTCAGCAATGCTCCTGTAGCTCGCTATGTGCCGCCAGCTCGACGCACTAGCAGTTACGGCGCCCTTCTGCCTGCACCCCATCTGCCTGCACCCAACCTGGATCCAGAGTCTCCACCGTTTGAACCGACTCGTGCTTACCCACACCATCTTGGACATGCTCAATACCTGCCTGTGGCAACCGCTTTCGCCGGACCCGGCCTTGGTAACGGCGACTTTACGACATCTCCACCACGCATCAGCACTCGACGAGTTTCAAGCATCAACAGCAACAATGGTAGTGACAAGGGTAAGGGAAAAGAGCCAGCTCTGAGTGCTCCTGCTGCTGGTGTTCGTCTCCAACCTGCTCCGATCCTAGGACAACCCGCTTCAATCCTAGGACAGCCTGCTCCGATCCTAGGGCAACCCGCCACAATACTTGGTGCCACTTTCGGTTCCTCTGCTGGCCAGGGACATGCATTTCCACATGGTCAGATCCTGACTTATGGTCAACCGCGGGGCGTGACCAACCAGTACATCTATGGGTTGGCTGCTCACGCTGCACAGCGCCGTGGTATTGCAATGCGTGATCCCAACAATGGCAATGTTCTCAGCACCTTACGTCCAGCTGCTCCTATCGAACCCACCGCTGGTAATGTCACTGCAGGCATTGGCGGTGGATCGATCCTGCCAGGCACTGGTCTTCCTCTGTACCATCCACGCACTCGTCCCAGCAACTCTGTTGCCCCAAACCACGGCACGGACGGCACAGGTCGAACCTTTGACGACACACTGGACGATTGGTTCGAAGAAACCACCGATGAACCTACCCGCATGGCTATCCTCGCAGGCATGAACATGCGCACCGCCTCAGCGACTACTCTTGTTCCGCCGAGCACCCCTCCTCCAGCATATGCTATTCCCAACTCGCGCCTTCGACGTTCTCCGGGCCGTGAGCACCTGCACACCACGTACGAGTTCGACGAGGATCTGCACATGAGTCAGGCGGAGGGAATGCCATTCGGTCGCCTACCCCCTTCGATGCCTACCACTTCGGCTCCTCCCTTCGGCTCGTCGACCAGCACACCAAGCACACCAGCTGGCGGCCCCTTGCGCACTCCGATCCAGAACCTTCCTCGTACGCCGGTGGCCGGGCCATGCCGCAGCGCAGCTATCCCGGCAGATCCAGACAGCTCAGGCGGCGTGCGCTCCTCTCGCTCTCTCATCCGAGATAGCTGGACTATCAGGTCTCCTGCCGACAACGTCCGTGGCCGTCAGTTCGGGGTTATCGGTGATGGGTCGCCTCTGCGACGCAGCAATTCCAACATTGGTGGAAGAGCAGGTCCTCTGGCTGCTGCTACGGCTGCATCGTCTTCTGCTCCGGTGTCTTCACCGCCGTCGTTGCCGCAGCTCTACACGACCACGGAGACGACGGCGCAAGAACATGCACGTCGCGTCGCGATGCACCGTGAGCGCATGCTCCGTCAATACATCATTGACGAGGAGGAGGACAGTGATTGAGCCTGATGATTGAACGTGATGAGCGATGGCGACGGTGTTCCTGTTGCTGTCTTGGTCTCGGGTTTTGGATACCAACTCGGCTTGAACTCTAAGGATGATAAGGCGTTGGACACTTCAGAATGATCAGAGTGCTACGGGAGATGAAGCTGGCGGCCAGGCCGTCCTTCGATACGGTTTACGGGTGCTTGACGATGACACTCGTCACTGCATCACTGACTGCCTCACCAGTGGTTACCTATGCGCACAACCACGGCTGCAATTGTATTTATTAACCCCCATGGCATAGCATGGCAGTCAGGAACGGCAAGAAACTCCTCGAGAGTACGCCTAGCACGTCATCCAGACATAGCAGCGTGAGATGAGATGAACGGAAATGAACTGAAACGAAGAGAAAATGACCATTCCATTCAATTCAATTGAGTGGATTGGGTGGGACAGTCCTTTGGCCGTGGTTCTGCATTTTCGTGTGCGTGTGCATGTGCTTGTACCCTGCCTTCGTGATCGAGTCTAAAGCCCCTGAGGCGTCTGGAGCATGGCATTTCGTGATAGTCTCCTTGATCAATTGTCCCTATGCCTCTACATCTAGCTGCGCAGCAAGGCATTGTAGCACCATAGACACAATAGTCGACCTACGAAGTTACGGCGCGTAGTTATATCAGGGGCATGTACCTGTACTTGTCGACCCGCGTCTATGTAGAGCGCGCTACGTCCCTTACGAGGAAGTAAGTACAGTACAAAGTACGGAGTATACAGCTTTGGCACCCAACTCAACCCGACCCAAGCTGACCCGACACGATGCCAACAGCTCGGTCCTCCCTATGTATATGCACAGGACATACACAGTCTGCAGCACTGACCCAACACCACACCACATAGCTATGTACCCATTTTACTATATCCCTAACAGGCCACCTACCAACAGTACCTACCTGATTAACCGAGTTGACATGGACGTACAAGGAGAACACTGGGTCCGGCGTAGGACGTGCCGCCGTCTACTGTGTTCTCTATCTTGTGTCCTGTGTCCTGCGTCATGCGTCCTGTGTCCTGGATCGCCACGTACTGTGTACACATATATGCAGTGTGTCCTGAGTCCTTAGTCCTGTAGGCCACTTGTGTCCACACCGAGTACATGTCCAGGAGAGGCACATCGCAGCACTTTACTTGTCTACCTCCCTACCCACCTACTTTCCTACCTCCCTACCCACCTACTTTCCTACCTCCCTACCTACCTCCCTACCTACCTACCTACCTACCTACCCACCTACCTACCTGCCCACCCTACTTCCCTTTCTTCCACAGACACGCCAACAGCGAGGCAGATTCCACGACGGACCAACAGTGGCGGTAGATATATTAATGTGTATACGTATATGTGATGCGCGTGCGTACAAAGACAATCCAACAAGGGACAATATCCACCACCCGTACTCCGTACTTAGTGATATCCTGATATATGTACAATATACAGAGTACACCATCCTCAATGATCAAGGATACAAGCATCCATAAAGTCATACAAGGCACAATGCCCGCAATACCCGCAATAATCCTAGAGATATATATAGTCACGTACGGAATACATATATACACACATATCTACATACCTATCTTACTCCGTAAACACATCCGTCTTGTACACTCATGCCTCGTATGTACGTCCCCCTTTCTTACAGTACATCCGCACTGCACACGCACACGCACACGCACACGCACACTGGGTGACTGGGCCCTGACCCTGCAGCGGGACGTCGCGAGAGGCGAAAAAAAGGGGAAGCAAGGCAGAGGCGGGAAGCGGGAAGCGGGAACAGGCGCACACGCACCAAGCAAAAACAACCAAGCAGAGGCGAAAAGAAGAGGCGAAAAGCAGAGGCGAAAAGCCACGATTGAGTTCAAAATTACACTCGTCCATACAGTACATAAGGTATGCACAATGGGACACTGTGACACTGTGACACTCACTGAATGGCTGGCCTGACTCAGATCAGATCCGCACCGTACCGTAGTGTAGTTACTGCTACTGCCACCTGCCAAACTGCCGTTTCATGCGGAAGTGCATGCATGCATGTGGCATGTGGCATGTGGCAGTGTGGCATGTGGCGTGGGCGTGGGCATGGCCGTGGGCATGGGCATGGCATGCATGACTGGCGACCAGGGAGGCCGACCTAATTCCTTACTGGAATGGGAAGCAAGGTTTCGATCATCGCTGCATGTGTGGCACGAGGTGAGGTGGGATTGGCCGGGGTGGCATCCAAAGGTCGCTACAGTACTGTAACGCTTGCTCTCGACTTGTCTACAGGGCGAGTGTGAGCTGAGGAAGGAAGCGTGTGAGAGGTTGGCAGTCGAATGATTGATGGCCTCGTGTTCCTTTTCCAAACAAAGGGACTCAAGCTCGGGACCCGAGCTCGGGACTCAAGCTCAGGACTCGACACTCAGGACTCAAAACTCAAGACTCAGGACTCACTCATCGGCCCTCTGGCAAGGGGACCAGCGCAGCGTTAGCAAGAGCCCAAGGCGACAATCAATAACAAAGGCAAGTGAGTCAAGTCATGCAGCAATTTAACAGACTAGCAACAAAGCCCATCCATCCATACTTGAATCCGCCACCTGTTCAACGCGAGTCCCCTCTTTCGCCTTTCCGGTTCCCAATAGCCAGGGGTTGTTGGATGTAGCTGGCTGGCTGTCTGGCTGGTCTTGAGAACAACCGTCGAGGTTCGTTGAACAGCCTCGATTGATCGGGGTGTGATCGGTCGGCGAATCCTTTCTTTCCACATCCTTGTATTATCCCTTGTTTTCCCGTCGAACACCTCCAGCAGCATTTCCGGACACCTCGACGCAGGCCTCTGGGCGGGCCGAGTCTGCCCCTTCTCAAATTCTCTCTTGATCTTGCCGCCTGGCCTCGCCAGAACCTGTTCAGAGGACCATCGAACGAAGAGCAACCTCGGCCGACACCACCAGCCGCAAGACGATCGCAGGTTGGAAAAAGTACTATGAGTACATGAAAAGCGCGCACATGGACTTGTTCTTCGCAAAAAGCATAAGATTTCAGACAGCCTTCCCAGATACAGTGTGAACAAAAAAGCATGTGCAGCGGTCAAAAAAGCAGATAGCCACCCAGTTTTCCGTCTCGTTCCAGCATTCGCAGCCAAGGGTGAATCGGGCTCTGATAGCCGTGAAACCACCGGGCAAAAAACATTCGTCATAGCTTTGCGGTTTTGGAGAGTGATCAAACAGCCAACCCACTTGTTTATCTCAACGCGATTTTAGCCCTTTTCCTCCGATTCACCGGCGAAAGTCCCCAGTAAAGACCGAAGTCATACATAGAAAGGAAATGGTGGGTTGCCCCGAGTTGTGTATCTTCTTTAGCAAAAATGAAATCCGAATAGCGAACCGCCGTCGCTCTCGGCAACGAGTGCGGGTGTCGATCGTCGTTTCTTCGCAGCCTCCTCCAGACACCTCTGCATGCGAGCGCGCCTTCATGACCGGGCAAGGCGGTCCTACTTCTTGCCATCCAGCTTGTTGAGCATATCGTTGTCGTTCCTACCTCGCTGCTCGGGCGGTACCCGGGTCGGATCCCCGAGCATCTCGTGGACCTTCATGCCGCTTCTTCCGTTGGCAGAAGAACCCGCGGAGCCGGGTTGGTTAGGAGGCGGGGTCCTCCCGTCATCGTGGTTGGGCCCATGATGGGGTGAGTTGAAGCTCTGCGCGGACTGCGGGGTCAAGCCCGACGGGGGTGAATTGTTACCCTTCTGAGACTGCGTGCCATTGGCGTAACGAGGTTGCTGAGGGAAGGACTGATAGCTCATGGTGGAAGTGGCAGGGGAGGTGGGAGCGCCACTGTTGGGATCTTGATACTCGTTGTAGCTACCGCTGCTGTTCTGGCGCGACTCGTATGTACTGTTGCGCGGGCGAGAGTTGGGGTGGGGAGACTGGGATGCATGAGAATTCTCATTGTGGGGGTCATCATCAGGAGGGGGACGCTTAAGACTGACACGTTCATCATGATGCGCAGGGGGTCCCTGCCCTTGTGCGTCATATGGCTGTCCAGCAGGCGGATAGGGAGGATATGGGTACGGCGCAGGAGAATAACCATGGGGAGGGGCCGGCGGGTAGTTGTACTGAGGTTGGCCATGGGGTCCGGCGGGTCCGAGAGGTTGACCGTGGGCACCATAGAGCATCGGCGGCGCTTCACCATCCCGGGGATAATGTTGTCCATTCTGGCCCAGACGGCCATCGGGTTGACCAGCAAGAGGAGCCCTCGCGGCGTTAGGTCCATACACGGCATTGGCCGGGACAAAGGCAGCCTGGGAGGAGACGGGGTGGAAGAGGCACTGCTGATTGAAGCGGACGCAGTTCTGACAACGGCCGTCCGGTGAGCTGTCGTAGCCTGAGCATCGAATCTAGGTCACGGTTAGCATCGGCCTGTCACGGGTCATGTGCGTGCCCGTCTCGCGCACCTTTCTCTTTCTGCAATACTTGCAGGCTATGGCCGTGCGTTGGCGCGGCGCGGCAGCAGGCACCTGAGGAGGATAGGGAGGGGCGTAATAGCCCGGGTGAGGATGCGGGTAGACTGGAGGAAGACGGTAGGCATCAGGTTGCATGGGCTGAGGAGGCTGTCCCAAATCAGGCCGCGGAGGGTACGCATAGCCTGGATGCGCAGGGTCCTTGTGGTGTTCACGTCAGCTGAAGGGTTCGATGCTGGCGACGGCGTGATAGCCAGCACTTACCGGATAGTGAGGAGGATAAGCACTATGCTGCGCTGGCCAACCCGGCGGCGGATATGGATGAGCTGCCCTGGGATCCGGATACTGGCCTTGTCTGGCAGGATCCGGGGGGGGATATGGGCTCCGGTCGTCTCGTGCGGCCGCAGGACGTCCTTGAGGCGACTGCTGTGAGTAGTAGCCACCGTGGGTTGGGTCGTCCGGCGGCGGATATTGAGGACGTGGAGGCTCCCTCGCGTCGGCCATTTGTGCCATGTGTCGTCCAAAGATCGTGGGGTGGGTGGTACAACAGGTCACGGTTCCAGCAGCAGGGTCGCCAGGTGGCCAGGAAGCAACCGAGGCTAACGGAAAACGGGCAAGGCGAAGGCCGTCGAGGCGTGTCTGATTGCTCCCAGAGCGGGCGTGGGTGGTGTGTGTGTATGTATGTGTGTGTGAAGGAAGAATGAAATCGACCTCAGGACCAGCTCAAGGTCGAGCGCAATCGTCGCAGTCGCAAGCACTGCACCGCAGGGGAAACGGTAAACAAGAGGAACAGGTCCTGCTAGGGTGTGTGAGGTGACCGGGCTGCGGTATTAATTATTGTTTAGAAGGCGAAAGGTTGTTTGGTGTAAGATGGGTACGAAGGTCCGTCGGGCCTGGCTGAGCGATGGGGACGCGGATGGATCAGGATCAGGATCAGGTGTTCGCACCGGCTGCGGCAAGCACGTTCGGACGGGAGGGCTGCGTGAGAGCCGTCGCAGGCGAGTGGATGTCGGGCGTGTGAGCGTCGGGTGAGAGTCAAGGTGAGAGTGGACAGGTCGGTGAAGAAGTGACGAGCTGAAGGATGACGATGATGGTCGAGAAAAGGTCGTGGAGGAAGGATGATTGGCGATGTCGCGGATGTGATGGTGGTGGAGAGTAACTGGAGATGTGCTTGGAATTAGGTGGCAAGCGGTGCCTATAGGCTCTCATCCGCCGCAGGCACAACCGAGGGAGGGAAGAGACTTTTTTCCCAGGGAATCGCCTCAAGAAAGCTAGGGCTTCGGGCGGGAGGGGAGGGCAGGCCAAATGTACTCTCGGCCTCTCTGGTCGCTACTGCGGGCCCTGCTGGGTGCTGTTCTGGAAAGCCTGAGGGCACTAGCCTAGGGACCCAGGGAAACGGGACGGAGAATCGGTAGTGACGCCCACTAGCCACTAGCCACTAGCCCTGCAGAACAGGGATTGTCAGGTGCCAGATGCCAAGTGGGGGGCTTCCGTCCCAGGCTCGTCACTGGAGCCGCGGCTAGTGCTAGCGCGGATGTGCTCTCACAAATCCCAGATGGTCTGCTGCCACCACCAGGACAGTAGCGCCTGCGCTCGTAATCGTAGCCTGCACACCGCGAGTGATCTGGCGGCAGTGCTCTTCACCGGCGCCTTCGGCTGCCTGATGAATGCCTTGCGTACTGGCGACGGCTGCTGAACACCGGTGGAGTGCGGGAGCCGAGGCGTCGCAGCCTGTGTCCTGTGTCCTGGCAGCACAGCAAGGGCGGATGACTTTCCCTTACTTTTTGCTTGACCACCACTTCCGTCGGTGACACCTGTCGACTCCCAGAGCGCGGCCGGCGTGTGGCGGGGATTACACTTTTCGGGATGCCTTGCAGTTTGTGCGAGTGTGCCTGCCCCTCTTCTGCTTCGTCCGCTTGACGCACGGCTATTAGCGCTAAACGTGGGGTGGGTTGAATGGCCAAGCGTGATGATGTCGGCCCTCGTCTGATGAGAGGGAGGATGTGAACGACAGACGGGGTGTCCTTGTTGCCCGTCTGAACAGGCCAGCGACCTGTGACAAATGGCGGACGATGGCGCACAGAGTCGAACGAATCTCACCCCCGACCAAGGATGGGATTTCGGTCGGTTGGGGCGTCACCGCGAGTCGATCCGAAGTTCCACCCAGGGTGTGTCTTGCTGCGTCGCTGGAATTAATTGGACGCAGCCTGACCTGCGCGCGGCGTGAATAGACTCGGTTGTGACAGCGTCGAGGGACTCGTCACCAGCCACCAGGGTAGGTCCACTGCGGAATATGGCGAATGTTGATGGAGGGGTAAAATGGGTTTCCAGCAGCTGTCCTGGAATGCCGTCCGTAGCAGTGGGAGCCAAGCGAGGACGAATGCCAGTCAGCTTGTCAGAAAAGGCAAACGGGAGGCGGCAAAGTCACTGTTGCTTCCCTGTCCTCGTTCGCTGGAGATGGAGGGGAGACTTCCCGTGAATCCGATGGCAACGTGCCAGATGCGTCAAGCTAAAAGTGACCTCCGCGGTGACCACGGGAATGGTAACGCCGCTAGGTTCGTCCCTCCCTAGGATCCTGGGACGGGCTCTCTTTACTTAGCTGAGGGGATGTCACTGCGAGTCCGAGGTGGAGGAAGGGGCGCGGGCTTGGACAGAATTGCCGCAACGAGCCGATGAATAATAGGTCGCCCTCTTCCACTTGGTCGTTAGCCTCAAACTCTTTAGATGAGGGGCACTGCCCGAGATGCAACAAATGATGGATTCGAGGGCTCTATTGGTTCGCATGGGCTTCGATGACTGGCTCCAGGTGGCAAGCAACGTAAGTTCCGGGCGTGCAGTGTAGTAAGACCTGGTAGCAGCGCCGAGCAGTGGTCGCTGGCCGTCGGTCGGTTTGTGATTGTGATAGTGGTGTGAGGATGTTCTGGTGGAGGGGCTCTTTTGCACGGCGCAACAGACGCGGATCCGACGATTGCCGTTGCACGCGCTGATCAGAATGCAAACAAGCACAGGCTGATCTCTGCCGGACTCAATCAATGTCAGGACAGGCGAGGGAAGTTTCGAAATCAGGTCTGCCTGTGAGAGAAGGGTGGTCCGCATATATGATGCAGCTAGACGGCACAGAGATCGGCTGTGCGCTGCTTCGATCCTCTTCGTAACCAATAACCATGCCACTTTGGCAGCGAAGGATGAGGGTTATGGCCGTGTAACTTCGCGGAGATCTATTGAAACAGTCTTATCTAACGGGCCGTCGCCGCTGGCCTTTGTGCCTATGCAGAATAATACCGGGCTTTGAGCCAGCAACATTGCTAGAGGAGCTTCCGCCACGCGTCTCGACCCGGATTTGACCTCACTCTTGCTTGAGACCCTTCTAACCATCAAGCTAGAGTGCTAGTCCCCAGAAACAACTGGTGGCTAATCAGCTCATAGTGCTTCGCGTGGAGGTCCGTACATAAGTTTCGAGGAGCGGCCCTCAGGGAGCATGCATTGGCATGCAATGCAAGAGGGAGGCAAGGACAGACGCCGTCGAAAAAAAAGTCGTGCTATCTCATGCACCATGCCCATCCCTGCCGCTCTGTGCAGTCGGCCGGGCTGAGAGACGGAGAGAGCGTCGAGAGGGGCGGCGAAATTTCTGTCTCACTAACCTTGGTATAGAGTACGAAACCGTATCATACGACGTCGATACGAAGTGAAATGGAGGGCGACTCGATGATTGTCCTCTGTACCTATCGCCTTCAGTGTTTCTGGATTACACACTCCGCATCTGATCTCAAATGGCTGAAGCCGAGATCTGATCGGAAATGTGACACGTCCACTCTTCAGAGCGGTGAGTCATCCACACACTCTGAACGGGGCCTCTGCTCTGACATGGATTGGCATGGATGCTTCGTATAGAATGTCGGGTGTCATGACCAACTACCGCATTTGCAGTCACTGGGGACAAACAAAATCTCCGGATATAGCCATGCGTTCATGGTGTGTACGGCACTGACCCTTCCGCCTGCTGTGCGACACAGAAGCAGTCAACCATGATATGACAGCAGTCTAAGTATGCAGGCTCAAGGATCAGTACCACCCTCGAATTCCTGTCAGCTTTGCCCGGTTGGCTACATTTCCACCCTCCCTTGTCTTCAACGGTTTGCTTCAGCGGATGGTGGGTGACACGCAGCCCACTGCAGGATCCTTAATCCATCAACATCTACCCGTACGAGTCTTGACTGTGGCTTTAACGGGTTGCCCAGGAATATCTGGCGAGGCAGGCACCGTGGAGGGAAGTTTGACTCGGAAGCGGTGTGCGTCGACGGGATATCCCATCTCAAGTTCTTTCACTCGAATCCCTTCTTGGGCGGGACGTAGTTCATTGGCAGACCCTTGTCATCTGACCTTGCTTCAGCTGTGCAGCGCAGCCAAATGCAAGACTAGGCCGTTAGCCATGTAAGTCGTTCAAGCAAGAATGCTCAGTGTGACAGGGCTCCCTTTTTAGACATAAAACGCGCCAGAGGTACTAGTTAGACAGTCTGCTCCAGCTTGGGACTCGTCATAGAACACCGTAGTGCGACCTTAGTGGCGGTTAATTACAGGTCGAATGGGAGATGTACCCAGTACTCGTACTCTGGAGGCTGCAGAGACCGCGGCGGATTTTCGCGGGGCGACGCTCACCGTTCAGTGGTGCTGTCTAAGGATGGCCGCTAACTAGCCAGAGGTGAGCCACACCGGTCAGGCTAAACCACGCAAGCCCGCGCAGCCGTGACCCTGCCACCCAGCAGAGTGGAATCACGGACATACCGATGCCTCGACCATCCTTGGCCTTAGGACTGTCTCGTCGAACTACCCAAGCTACGGTCAAGTGTTGCCTGTAGAACTATAAAGTCTGGAGCGAGGACGTTGGAAGGTTGAAGGGACCCAGACTTCGTCAGCCTGCGGGGTGAGGCCGGGAGGCTTGGGCATTGGCGAGCTCGGGCAAATTCACCTTCACTGAAGGCCGAAGCGCCATCCGGTAGGTACGGAAGGGCGACAGGGGGCGTCGAGGCCCTAGCCGAAGGCGAAGAAGGTACCAGGCTCGGCTCTGCCCTAGGTCCCGTCCTTGTTCAGAATGCGTCGATTTTTGCCTTCTACCTGCAGTGATGATGCACTGTCCGCACCCCTCCGGGCCATACCTCCCAGCAGCTTCCTGCGTAGTTGGCCGTGAGTGGTGCATATGCAAGTAGGATGATAACGTGCCGGAACGTTTAGCTTGCCACTCCAACGGTGTCGACGCTCTCTTGAAGGCACAGTCGAATCCTACAGCGACCGGACACGGGACTGGGATGCTATCGAGCTAGCAACGCCATTGGTGCTCAGTTCGCTGACCGCACCACTCCCGTGGTGTCGTGGATCTCGACGGTTGCTAGCGACTTTCTTTATCTGGATCCGGCGCTGCGGATGCGGAGGGAGGGTACGAGTACTGGATCCAAGGAGGGCGGGATGAATGCCTGAAGGTGTGAGAGAGGGTGAGGCGCCTGTCGTGCATGGTCAATCAATGGGGGCTGGTACCGAAGGCCTTTAAACGGCGCATCCTCACAGTTCTGATCCTCGAGTTGCCCAAACGAGCTGAGCATGGCTCCGGGCGCTCCCTCGGCCGTGCAACCGACATGCTGGAAGCGAATGGAGCCCGCATGCGAGATAGGTTCACATGCAGGATGATGTGGAAGCAGTGTAACCAAGCAATCGGGTTGCATTTGCAGACGGGCCGTCCAGTCGAGCCTTCCCTGTCTCTCCCTGGCCTGCTCTTAACGCGAATTGAGCCCTCAGGCCTCATGCATGTGCCCAGCTGACCCCGTTGACGCGGCGGCTGATGAGCTCCGGATTTTGGAGCCGTTGATCGTAACATCAGGATTTGACTAGGGAGTGGTTATCCTCTTTCATCGCACACTTCGACCTGGGGTGGGACAGTGTTAAGTACAAAGGTAGTCGATCAGACCCCATAATTGCCCTCCTGACTGCCGGTACCGGTGAGCCTGCAGCGCAAAGACCCGCGCCTGAGAAAGGAGCAGTCGTGGGAGAGGAAGCCGCAGGAAATTCGACAACAAGTCAACGGTGCGAAACATCAGATTTGTTCCTAACGGCGCACCTGCAGTTGGACCGGTTCTCGTATTGTTTACAGTACCGGTACGTTACGATTCCCTTTGGTTCAGCTCGGCTCGTGTTTTTCTTTTGGACAGACGGTCATTTGAAAAGGTGCTTGGCGTCACATGACCTCAGGTTGATGTACTGCAGCCGAGACGAGACGGGCTTGTTGCTGATGGGTTAGGCACTGCTGCCTCTAGTGAACAAGGCCCCACAGTCGAAGTTGCCCACCGCCATTTCCCGGCCTCATGATCAGCGAAGGGCAGAGTGAAGGGAACACCAGGACACCAGGACACCAGGGCACTACCAGTGTCTGGTTCGATGGTGAAGGTGCGAAGACAGTTCCCTTTCCTGTGTCGACATTGCCTTTGCGACTTGATCTTGCCACGGATGGCGCCATCTTACCGATTGCTTTTCACGTCAAAGGCAAAATGTGGACTTCTAACTTCTCAGCTGAAAGCCTCAGACAGCATGCTCCACGTCCCCAAGAGAGAGCCGCCATCACGACTCCGACACCGCCAGGGCTGATCCTTGCTCTCTCCCAAATTACAGCACGCTACCACGCATGCTCCATGGTATTTGGTCAGCTGGTCTTCCTGGGTTGTCACGTCGGGCCCACCGACTCGAACTGACAGCGATGCCAAATGTAACGCAAACACAATCTTTGGCAAGCCACAGTGCACGACTCTCTCCGCCCACGACAGCCAGCAGGTGACCTCATCGGCAACCTTATCATCTATTGATCCTAAAAGCAAACACATCTAGCTACAACAAAAAATTGGTTGCAAGGTCAATGGTGGGCACATAGGCTGTCGAGGCAATATCCTGCCATGCCGTTCTTTCATGAGATACAACCGATACACACGCAGCGCGGGCGGCGACCCGAGGCCAGCGTCAGATCCTTGCTTATGGTTGGACACGGTGGTGGCGAGATTCGCAGTACCACAGGTGCCCAAACCATCACCTTATTCAGTGGTCCCATCAGAGTCGTCACTGCTGGGCTCATCATCATCTGGCATCACAACGCTGTTGAGGTAGGTGACCTGGTCGTGGAGCTCTGGTCAGCGCACGCCCTTTCATGGATCGGCTCAGAGAAGTTCGCGAACGGGGCACGACTGATCACGCTGGAGTGTTCTTTTCAGAACTGGCTTTGGGCTAAAGGTCGGCCCGCCTTCTTTGCCTGTGCACATGCCAGTTCCCCACCACCGAGTCGCGCCTGGTCGAGGTATGATTGGGTCCTCAGGCCCATGCAAAGTGTACGCCACGAGTTCTCACCAAAGCCCGGAGCGAGTCATGGCTGGAGTTTGCGTGATAGTTTTTTGTGGGCTCTCCGAGTCGTGGACGGACACAGACTGGAGGCGGAAGAGGTGGACTTACGAAGGGAACCATCACGCCAATCAAGTCGAGAATGGTCTGCAGCCCCTGCTCCCCAACGACCTTTTCATCCGGAATCCTCTTGCCCAAAGTGAAGTTGCGCAAACGAAGAAGCTCAATGTTCGGATTATCAGCCTCGTAACCCTGTCAGAGTGGAAACCGTCAGCCAGGTCTAGATCAGGTGGGAGCGAGACCAGATAGTCGAATAGAGGTGAGTCCGATTTGGGCGTGTGCTCCATCCCGAAGGGTATTATCCGTGGTCAGAGCGGCGCGGGCGGCTTGTCACTCGCCACTGAGGTCAACAGGGAGCACCCGGGAGGGTGCTACCAAGAGGGGGGACCGCAACTCGCTGACTGCCGCACTCACTCGCACACTTTGTAGCGCATGCTCTGAAGTCGCACTCGCACTCGCACTCGCACTCGCAGCCGCAGTCGCAGTTGCAACGCAAATGCATATGCAATATGTTCCAATACGAAATGTGGCGTCAATGGGTGCTCAGTCACCAGGTTCTCCTTTTTCCCGCATTTCATATTAGTGGCCTCCATGCTCACCCACTTCGCCCTCTGCGGTGGGAAATCCACGAGTCTAAGCACGCTTCGTCCCCTGACTCTGAGCGGCGAGCTGCTAACCGACCTCGGCCAGAATCAGGGCTGCTGAAACATAGTAGCTACTGCTTATGGCCCCCTGCATATACCAAGGGCTTTCTCGAGACCAGAGGAGTCTTTGCATGGCGATGCATGGCGATTTAGAGACAATGACTGCCAACTGCGCTGGACTCCAAGAGCCCAGCCCAGACGGGACACGAGACGGCCTCGAGAAAAAAGAGAATAACAAGATACACATACCTTCGGCTTAGTCTTCAAGGCATTTTCCTTGTTCTGGTCGGCAAACGCTTTGATTGCCTTCTTCTCATCGTTCGAGTTGACTTCCAGAATCCTTTTCCGCATCTGAGGTCCAGTCAGAACCTGCCGCAGTTTCTTCGGCTTGCGGTCGATGTTCCGTCTGAGCAGAGCCAAAGGTTGGGCGTCAGGCATCCACAAGCCGGAACCTGTCGAGTCAAAAAAGTTCAGAAATGGGTGTGGACAAAGAAAGAGAACTTTCATACCGACAAAACTTCTGCCTCCTGGCTGGATTTGGACATAGTAACAAGCATAGGGTCCCTTACGACCTGTTCGAGACCTATCGTCAAGTCAAAACACCGCCTCGACCGAGCGAGCAGGGAGCTTTACCAAGCTGCCGAAAAATGTGGCTTGCAGGGAGAGTCAGCATCGTGCAAACAGCCTGGAAAGAGTCCTGAAATGCTACAAACCTTGTAAGGTGTAGGATCAGAAGAGAACCTGATATCGCGGTAGATTCTGAAGACCTAGGGTCAAGCCATTAATGCGAGCGTAAACCATGGGATAAGCTGCTTGAACGCACCAGGTCTTTCGGTGGCAGTTCCGGGATTGTTTCATCGATCTCTGTTATCTTTTCAGTCAACACTTCCACAAAGCTTTCCCAGTCCTTCCAAGACTGTCGATAGTCGGGGTCATGCACTGTGCAGTCGGTTGTTAGCACTGACGTGTCATTTACTCGATAGCACATTGCTCGAGCGTGGCAATCGGAGAGCAACCACCTCACTGAATGGGACGCTTACTTTTCAGCCATTCCCGGTCATTGTTCGCCTTCAAGTCCTTCAGGAATGCCATTGTGTTGGGGTGGATGGTCCCAGGCAGATACTTGATGCCTCCGTCACCTCTGGGTTTGGGCTTTTCGATGAACACCTGCTTGCCCGGACCTAAGCCTGTCTTGACGCCAGGTCGCCACAGCTCCTTGCCTTTCTCTATGACGGCACTGACAGCAGCTCCAAGACCGCCAGCACCTTTGGGAGCTTTCTTGCTCTTCGCCTTCCGCTTCCTAACATCCTGCTCGGAGTCATCATCGTCCTCATCTAGTGATTCATCGCTGGATGGCGCCTCTTGTGCTGACGCATCCTCGTCCTCGTAGCCGGAATCGTCGTCCCCATTGTCGCCGACGTTGTCGTCCTCGCTATCTAGCTCGTGGAAGTACTTGCTTCTGGTCGGGGTCACCTTGCCGGTGCGACGCTCCTTTTCAGCCGACTCTTTGATTCTCTTCGATGCCCTGCTTCCCGGCGTAGCTGCTGGGGTAGACTCCGATACCTGGCGTTTGTGAGATTTCGGGGCAACAGGTGTTGCCTTTTTAGATGCCCCTGACTTCCGTGCTGGCATACTTGCTGTCGAGTACGTCTCTCGACAAAGAGCCGATGACGACGTAAGTACACTATATAGGGATGGACAACGTATACACACAACCGGCGCTGGTGAAGCACTGCTCGACGTGGACGCTTGAAGCCGTACGACCACACCAATAAGTGCAACTCGCTGTTGCAGGGGGATTGGCGAGACTTTGGACGCGTCGAGCCGCGTCTGTTGACGTCATTACAGTTTTGCACTTTAGATGGCCCAGCCTTCAGCTCTTGGTTCCTTCGAGAGCGCATTCTCTGAAAATGTGTTCAGCGTTTTCTATATCGTGATTCCTACAAGCCTATGGTCTTGCGCCTCGAGGTCTCTTCACTGTACGCATTGAGAGCGGAATTGTGTTCTATCTGACTCCGCTTCAGCCCGCCCACAGAGTCGACCAGCAACACACTGTGCCAACACGACAATGTTCAACCCAGAGTTTTAAGCATATGCTAGCTAGTCTGAGGCGACGGGTGGTATATTGGAGGGAGAGTCGGTCGAAGCTCCATGGCAGCGAAGAAATCTTTCTGCAAGCTTGACTCGTGGTGAAAGCTGAGCGCAATCCGAGTCCGATCAGTGCCGACAGAGTACGTAGCGAGTCTTCTCCTTCTATCATGCGGTAGACGGCCTCATGAGGATACTCGCAAATGTTTGAGCGTGTCGCCTTCTCATCTTCCCAACCATAGCCGGAGACTAACAGCTTTATCCAAGTTCACGCAGTCGCAGTGGACCCCGGCGACTTTCACATCCCGCAACAATCACTTCGACTCTTTCCCTCAGGGTTCAATACTGTATCTTCCAGCCGAGTCGACAGCTGCTTCTCGGCGCATTCGAGTGCTCAGGCGACGCCACATAAAACGGCGTACTGCACCTCTGCCGCAAACATACTCAGGCTATTTCACGAAGTGTCACCCAGCTCCCGCTGAACATCTCTCCGCAAACGCCCAAAACTCTCCGAGCGCACTGAGTTTCACTTTGGGTGGTATTCCTTCGGATACATTGAGACTGGTCGGGGTAGGGTGCGCTGTGAATATATTGAGAGGCAGCTGCCTAGGTGGACGAGAGACTCTCTGCCCTATTGTTCTTACCGACGTTGAGTTTCTTGAACAATATTCTGCAATTATCCTTATTTACAATGGCGGAGAGCCATCACCACCACAACCACAGCGACGATCACCATCATGGGCATCAAGATCACGAAGCGTTTACTGAGGCGAACCGAACACACTGGAAGTATGTAAGCAGCGGGCGTTTCTCAGCTCCATCTGCCTTCCTTTGGCTACGGCAACATTCCACCATGCAACCCGCGGAGAATAGCTGATTAACCCTTCAACCAACAGTGACTTCGCCTGCAGATACTCAGCGGAACAATGGCAGCGCGACATGCTCAACAAAATCACTGCCTTCATTCACCAGCACATAAACTGGATCGGCGTCGACTTCCTCGATCCTTCGACAGCCTTCGAAAAGACCTTCTCACCGACAGAAGGGAAACGAGGCGTCCGTGTGCTCGACTATGCCTGCGGCCCAGGCACAATCACACATGCACTTGGCGCCCGCGCAACCGAGTACGTTGGCATTGACCTCAGCGAGAACATGGTGAAAGCATATAATCTCCGCTTCGGGCCAAATCCCGAAGCATTGTCGTCGTCCGCGGACGAACTCCCTCGTGGAGATGATGAGATTTTAAACGCGCATGCTGTGGTCGGCAACCTCCTCGATGCAAAAGAACCCTCACCCAAAGGTCTCGCGCCGCCAGAGTATTTCAACTTCGACCTCGTTGTCGTAGGCCTGGGATTTCACCATTTTCCAGATATTGCTCTCGCGACGTCGCGGCTTGTTGAACGCTTGACGACAGGTGGCGTGTTTCTCATCCTGGACTTTGTGACGCATGCGATGGACGAGCAGTCATCTTCAGGCCAGCAACCGGCTAGGCATACCGTCGCGCATATGGGGTTCAGCGAGGAGGAGCTGAAGAAGTACTTCCAAGACGCTGGCTTGACGGACTTTGACATCGTGAGGATGGACGACGAGGTTCTGCTCAGAGGCGAGTCGAGGAGGCGGCCGTTCCTGGCGAAGGGAAGGAAGGCGTAGACCTCCCACGCTAGCAATAATGCATTCGCAGATCTTCTTAATGCCGTCCGTCCAGGCTCACAGTCATCGCCTCGGGGCTCCCCACAGCCTGAAGCACCGCTCAGCCGATGTCAAGCACATCCAAGACATTGTCGATCGTGTTGACCGTGTCGACCTCGTGTCTCCACGTCGACACATCGTCCTTGATGGTGTTTTCCTCCTCGCCTTCCCTCCTCGTCCTCATCTGCCTCGCCAATCCTTCCTCCCTCTTCCGCTTCCTTCTTGCCTCTTTGTCCTCCCAACCGGTCGCCACACCAGAAGCAAGGCCCTCCCTCTCCATCGCCCTCTTCAACTCCTCTCGAAACCGCTCTCTCCTCTCCTCATTCCACCCGAACCGCTGGTTGACCACCGCGACGCACATGCGCAAGTACTCCTCTCCTACAATCCGATGGACTGTTTCATTGTGCTGGGGCGCGGCAGTATCTCCCTCTCCCTCGTCAACTTCGACTTTACTCTCGTCCACGTACCCTACCACAGTGTCGAAGCTCAATCCCGCCGTCCTCACCGCGACCATGACGCCCTTGTCCGCCTCCTGAGGATCGAGCACGCGCAGGGATTGCACGCCCGACTCGCGGAAGCCGGCGTTGATGGCTGCCGCGAGGAGGGGCCGCGCGTGCAGCAGCGACGCGCAGTGAATGTGCAGGATCAGCGGCGAGAAGGTCAGATGGACCAACCGGGGTGGCGACGACGAGGACGGTGAGGACAGGGCCGGGATGGGGGCCGCCTCGCCTTTACCATCCAGGTTGAACAGTCTAGAGAAATATTCTCCATGGATCGTGTTGTAGTCTTTATCGATTTTCGTGCCCGTACCCGTACTCGTATCTGTCATCATCGTCGTCGTTGTTGTTGTGATTGTGCCACAACGTGACCTCGGCACGGTAATCCGATCATGAGACACGAAGAGCCATCGTCCGCCACCCTTGCCGCCGGGTGATGTCGTCGTCGTCGTCGTCGTTGGGGCTGTGGTGGTGGCTCTCGTACTCGCGCCGTTCACTCCAACCCATGAATCTCCACCACCACCACCACCACCACCAACAATGACAGGCCCATGCCGTCCGTCGTCACGGTCGTCGTCGTCGTCGTTGACCAGATCGCCTCCATCGCCCTGGGAATGCCCCGTTTGCGCTCCGCCCTTTCCAACGAGTGAGTCACCGCCGCCTGTGCTCGTGCTTGTGCTCGTGCTGATAATACCTTTCGCCTTGCCCGCGCCCGTCGATTCCCGCCTCGGCCCTTCCACAAACACGGCGACCCGGCCGGCGCACGAACTGGTCGTCACGAATCCCTCGTAGGCATTGATTTCGTCGATCAGGTCGCGGATCTGCGCGTCCACGGTCCCCTTGGGGGAATTGTCCGTGTACGACTCGGTCGGCTGGTTCAGCGAGCGGAGGACCTGCGATTTCTTGGCGTGGAATGATGGTGGGATTGTTCGGATGGCGGGGGGTCGTGTCATTGGGAGGAGAGGGAGGGAAGAGTTACGCGAATGAATGAATGGACAAACCAGACCGAATTTATCCTGAACGTCGATGTGAATGTGGATGCGGACGTGAACGTGGATCTGAGGCAGCCGATCGTGTTTGATCCTATGAGTAAAGATTGGGCTCTGAGCTGAGGTGAAGACAAGACTGATAGATAGATGGACAGATGTTGGTGGGGACGGCGGTAATTTCCTGGAACAAACACGTACTCCGTACATGTACTCACACTCGGCGGCGCTGCTCAAGGTCACGATACGTCTTTACATATGTTACTGTAGCATTGCGAGGTGTTTGCGGGCTTCGTGGAAACTGGAAATTTTATCCCGAGGGATATGCCTGCCTGCGATTTGTGCCGGAAAGCACACAAACTGTACGGGTCAGAGTCTTCCATAGATTTGTATGGGGTAGAGGCAGCGTGATAACAGGGCGTCTGATTAGGTACCGAGCAATTTGTTTCAAGATTGATCTTCATTACCAGTCTTGAGTATCCTCTTCAAAAGGATAATATCTCTCTACACTCTACAAGAGTCTATATCCATCTGTCTAGACGGATCTATTTTTGTTAGATTTCAAGTCTCAGGTCGCCAAACTGTATCTCGGTCCCGTCCAACGCCAATCGCTATCGTCACACATTAAAGAAGTGAAAAGCGAGTCAAGCACATGGTGCTGCCATGCATGCATACATCGCCGGCACAGATCTTATGCCACAGGAGCAGCGACAGCCACCTTCGCCTCCACATTGTGCGGCACGGTCGCTGGCGTGGTGAAGGTGTCTGGCCACAGGAAAGCCTTTTCCTCCTTTGCCGGAGAGAGCGCGGCAAAAATGGGCACGGCGGCTCTGCTGCTGACTCTTCTCCACATGTTCGCACGAGGGTTGAAGTTGGAGGGAAGCCCTTTGCCGCGAGTCTTTTGTTCGTCGACCTTGGCGATCTTGATAACTTCTTTCTGGATATCGGCGAATGTGTCAAAGGGTATGTAGTCGATGTTGTGCTCGACGCAGTAGTCTTCGAGCTTCAGGCCTCGGCGCGCGAAAAGCACATCGGCCTCGCGTGCGGCGGGGAGATCTGAGACGCCGTCACCGATGAACACGATCATTGGTATTGTGCCGTTGTCACTTTCCATTCGGGCAGCAGCCTTGTATTCGTTGATTGACCGAGCCTTGTCATGGCCAAGTTCACACTCGTGTCTCCAGACTGCTTGCCACTTGTTTCCCTCTTCGGTTGCGGTGACTTTGGCATCGTTGGCGACAATTTCAATATGTTTGCTCATGTCTTCTCCAATGAAATGGTCGAGAACTCTTCGTAATACGGGCTTAAGGCCGGCGGAGATGACGTTGAAGGGGATGCTGTTGTTGACACAGAACTCGTGGAAGGTCTGGAAGTCGGGATCAATGTCCAAGGCTGTCTTCATAACTTCGAAGCAGTCCTCGAAGGGCACGTCGAGTGAGGCATAAAGCTCATCAGAGACTTCTCGGAACGTGCGTTCTCCCGACTCTAGCTGGTGTGCGAGCACTTTCCTTCTCTCCGGACCGCAGCCGAAATTGTCGAAAAGGGCATGACCGGTATCCTGCATGAAGATCGTGCCGTCGAAATCTAGATTTAGCGGTTAGACAAACTCTAAACTGCCGCACGGTATGATTGTACCTGAAAAGCAGATGATCTTTCGTTTCGTGCCCATATTGGCAGTATTGGCACGTTGCATGCTAGGTCGAACCTGCTTTGGCTCGACCGGTGGGGGGGTGATAGCAATGGGAGCCATGGTGTTGGTGTGACTTTGCAACTGGATATACTTTTCGTGAACTCTTGATGACTAGAATTTGGAATGTGCAGCGGCTCAAGGTCCTTCTTATACTCACCGATGAGGCGACTCTGGAGTGACACCAGAACATACTCCGCGGTCAGGATGTACGTAAGGGGCGGCGTAGCCTGCACGGGGTCAGCTGCTATGGCAATGGCATTGTAGCGGTTCCCTCGTGGGTCCAGTGGAAGTGCGCCATGTCTGGATAGTATTTTGAAAGTACCATGGGAACTCTGGTACCCTCTGCAAGCCTGAGGGAATCGTCGAACGATTGGTCGCAATCCGCCCAGATACGCGACTGATGCACGTCGACGCCATCATCGAACACAAGAGACGACGGTAATGGTCAGATTAATCGCTGTGGATACTGTGCAGGATTTCGACCATAGATCATTATGAGTGGCGGAGCTGCTGAATGGTATCATGGTACATTGTGCGAGGCGGGAGGCTGCAGAAAACGCACATGCTTAGCTTTGGGGCTCTGTTGACCATGGCATTTTCATATCTTCGGTATGCATGATGACGCTATGGCAGCGCGGGATTGGTTGAAGGGACAGAACGTGGGAGCAGTCCAACAGCGGCAGTGAGAAAGTGACATAGGAGAGGGGAGAGGCGGTCAGCATCGAGCTGCAAGGCCGGGCCGATGATGCCATGACATCTTTACATAGGACGACACCGAAACAAGGAAGAGGAGTCTTCGTTTGATCAGGTGTGAAGCTGGACTGTGTGGAACTGTAAACAGTAAGAATGGAAAGTCATAGGAAAGTCAGGTGAGTGTCAGAAATGAGGAGCAAAAGAATTCAAAGTCAGCTCCTCAGATTCCCGTCGTCTTTCTGTCTCGGATCGGAAAAACCATAAACAGCAACGAAATCTCTGGCGATCGACAGACTCCTGTTGGTCCCGCGATTGAGCGCGCCTTTTTGTCTACTCTGTCCCTGGCGATCGGTGACCGACGACAATCGTTGCAGTTTGCGTACCCAATATTCTCAGTCTTCTCAGTCTTCTCAGTCGCCTCAGTCGCGCGTCCCCCCTGCTGTGTTGTTCTGTCAACACCACAGATCCGTGAATCTCGCGGGCACCTTTGACAATGTTACTGTCTGTGGGTCGCGCTTGCCTGGCAAGGGTGAATGGCGCTCAACTTGAGTATCAAGATGCCATGTAAATATTCTGGTCGTCTAGATCACACAGTCCTAGGTTTGTCATTGTTTCGACAGCATCATTAGTCTCAGTTCACAATGGTTGAAAGAAAACTCTTTATTCTCGAATCCTATTACCAGCGAGGCAGCAATGAACAGAAGTGGCGCATCATCAATTCCGAGGGATTGAGCTGGCGAGAAGACATTGACCAATACACTTTTGTGAAGCCTTCAATCTGCAGAATTGGCGTGGTCGTCGAGGTCACCAGGGTTCAGTCACTGCTCCAGTCTTCTGGCGACACATGGTGATGCTATTGATTCCGGTTGAAGCCCAAACATCTGACTTTCGCCCAGGGACTTTCTCGGGGTCCTCAGCAAGGGTCCAAAACTTGATATCTTGAAGAACGATGGTGAACGATACAGAAAAGCCATCCTTGAGAAGGTCTCAAGCCAACAACATCTCTGCAGCAATTGCGGCATGCCATGCACCCACAAGTAAGAGTTCACAGTTCCTCCACGTCCTCCGACGAGCTGATGGTCGCCAGTCCACCTCCTCAACGCGTCCGATCCGCCGATGAAAGCTCGGTGCATATTAACACAGTCCAGAAGGCACGTGTACCTTAGGGGAGTTCTGATGTTGAATCCTGCAGCTTTGGGCTCGCGTGTTTGCAGTTTCTGCTAATAAGGGACGCGAACTGTGGCTATTGAGTGGGCAAGTCCGCCAACACGGATATCCCTGTCTCTTGATGAAGGATGTCATCCTCTCACTGTGTAGGAGCACGGAAGATCTCACCCTGTCAAAGATCATGTACACTGCTACTGACGATGTGTGCCTGATGTTTCAGCGGCAGGGATGAAGTTTGTGTCTACGGATACACGGAGTCCACGTATTGTGACCCTGCCATTGGGTGTTCTAGAGGAGACCAACCCAGACATTGGGTCCTGTCCGTCCCGGCTGTGTTCAAGGACTTGATAGGAAAGCTCATGAAAATAATCACCCCCCAATCCCGTACTGTGTATCTCCCTCGTATCAGATTTTACCCTCCACATCCTCGGCAACGCGGTTAGAGACGGCATTCCCAAACTGCGGAGCAACGAAAACTAATGCTCCTCTGATCACTTCTTTACTCTCTGTCCCTTCACTCTACCACCTTTCCCGGTCTATACTATCTCTATTGCGTAAATTTGCAGGCTGCGGAATCGAACTCTCGAAATCATGACATGCTCAATTGTGCGCCCGCTGCTTCGACCATGTGCCCGCTTCACCCAGGACCCATCACTCCTCACCTCGTCTCTTCTCCTTCGGCAAGCCAATCGAAGAGCATCTATACGTGCGGCCTCGACAACGTCCAAACATCCCTCCGGCTTCACCCCACCCTCGACTGAAGACCTCTACGAACTCCGCGAGCGCGTTCAGGAGTTTACCCGGCGTGAGATCTCCGAAGAAGTAGCTGCGACCACAGACCGCAACAATGACTTCCCCCACCACATGTGGAAGAAACTCGGCGAAGCAGGCTTCCTTGGCCCGACCGCGGATGAAGACTACGGTGGGCTGGGGATGGGCTATCAAGCCCACAGTATAATCATGGAAGAGATATCACGGGCAAGCGGGAGCATCGGGTTGAGTTACGCGGCGCACTCGCAGTTGTGCGTGAATCAACTGAGTTTGAACGGAAGTAAAGAGCAGAAGGAGAAATACCTCCCCGGATTGATTAGTGGGGACAAAGTCGGGGCGTTGGCCATGAGTGAGCATAGCGCAGGTAGTGACGTGGTGAGCATGAAGACGACGGCAAAGGCAGTAGATGGTGGATACAAGTTGAACGGTACGAAGATGTGGATTACCAACGGACCAGAGGCGGATTATATCGTCGTGTATGCAAAGACTGAGCCCGAGAAGAAATCCAAGGGCATCACCGCCTTTATCGTGGAGACAGCCACAGAGGGATTCAGCGTGTCCAGGAAACTAGACAAGCTCGGCATGAGGGGCTCGAATACTGGAGAGCTGGTGTTTGACAACGTCTTCGTCCCGCAAGAAAATGTGCTGGGCGCGGTTAACAAGGGTGTCACTGTGCTTATGGAAGGACTCGACCTGGAGAGATTGGTACTCAGTGCCGGGCCATTGGGGATAATGCAGGCTTGCCTGGATTTGGTGCTTCCCTACACGCATCAGAGGAAACAGTTCGACATCCCGATTGCGCATAACCAACTTGTCCAGGGCAAGTTGGCGGACATGTATACAAAGCTGCAGGCCGCGAGAGCATACACTTATGCGACGGCAAAGAAGGTTGACGAGGAAGGACAGGTGCGCACTCAAGATTGCGCTGGTGCCATCCTGTATGCAGCTGAAAGAGCCACGGAATGCGGTTTGGACGCTATCCAGCTCATGGGAGGCAATGGCTACGTGAATGAGATCCCTGCGGGGAGGCTTTTGAGGGACGCGAAGTTGTACGAGATTGGCGCAGGAACAAGTGAGGTTAGAAGGATGGTCATCGGAAGAGCCTTCAACAAGGAGTACAAAGATCAGGGCATTTAAATGCTATCCAAAAGGAAGACGACTCTGACCCTTTTCGACCTTCGAGCCCCGGCCTCGAGTTCCACCACCCCCACGCTTTGGCTTACTGCCAGAAGGTCCAGGCGGCCGACTGTTCGTGGGACCAGTCACAGCAGGCCTGTCTTGAGCTTGAAGCTCACTCGCAAAGTGCCAGTCCTCATGCTCATGCCTGTCAGATTCGCTGATAGTCTGATGACATGCCTTGCAAAGGTACATTGCGATGTCTGATTGATGCAGCTGAGGGGTCTGGTGGCATTGGACGTCGTCTTCTGGAGCGAGATCATGGTGCTCGTCATGGATACCCAGCATCTCATTTCCAGATTCGTCCTCGCCTTCTCCGGTACTCTCCCCTCTGGAGAAGAAGCGAGCGATACTGGGAGGGCCTTCGTCGAGCTTTCGCCGCTTCGAAGGCTGTTCCTCGCCTGGGACCGGTGTTGCTGTGGTACTTCGACACGGCACATGCATGGCCGCCTTGGCTTCATCTCCTTTCAGGAGAAACGAATCAATGCCTTTGTTGCCAGATACACCCTCTTCAAAGCCGCCCACAGCCAAGGAAAGATTTGCGCACGGCCATGCTCGGCCATCAACAATGACCTGACCTAATAATGTCTTCGCGAGTTCGAACAGGCTCACCTCATCGATCTTCTTGCCTCCTGGGATGGGGAGTTGCTTTGACCTGGTCTGGCCGCCCTGACGGTGGTGGAGCGTGATGGTTTTGGGCCTTCTTTTATTCTCAAGGACGCCTTCTTCGACCAAGCGAGCGAAGATATCTGCCACAAAGATGCGCAGCCATCTGTTCGCCTGTTCAGTAGTGTTGATGCTCGGCCTGAAAGATTTTGCCGAGAGCATTGATTTGATCTGGGTTCGTGCATTGACCTCACTGTTATCTTCCCCACGAATGATCCCGTAAAGCCACGACCCGGTGTCGGGCCCAAGCTTGGACTTGAGCTGCTCAACAGGAATCTTAAGCAGATCAGTGACATCCTCTGTGTTGAAGGCGTCAACAATTTGTTCTCCGAGTTTGCCGCCCAAATTTCGGATCTTGGTGAATTTAAAACCCGAGAGGAAGTGCTGCACGGCGCGATTGCGCACGATGGTCTGCTGATTTGGCTTCTTGTAGCCTGCCCCCAACTTGGCCATCATCTTGTTTCGTGCAATGCCTGCCGAGCAAGTATATTTCAGCTTCTCGCGAATGGTCTTTCGCACGCCCCGGACGATCTCAGAGCCAATATTCATCACCACATCGTCCCAATCCGGATCGTCGTCCTCCGTTTCCGTGGAGTCGAGGTCTACAAGCGCATCCACTTCCCAATCGAGGGCTGTCGAAGGCGGAGGAGGGAGATTCTCGGTCGGGTCGTCATACGGGGCATATCGAAGCTCCGGATACCGTTCCAGCAAGATCTGATGGATTTGTGCGGACAAGTCAAGGAAGACTTCATCAATGCTGGCCTTCTCTACTTTCTGTATCGGCGCGGGTGGTAAGGTCTCTTTGACCAGAGCGAGGCTTTTCCGCGACTCGAGGCGGTACGGATCCAGGGACACCTTGTCGGTGTGAATGTGTTCCGCGGCATCGTCGCGATATGCCCACTTATCATCCCCCTCGCGCCAAGTCGCAACATGCTGGATCACGACTTCGGGACATTTCTGCTTTGCTTCTGTGACCGTAACGTGTCTGCTCAATCCGAAGTCTCGTGCTGGATAGTTGATTGCGATGAGACCTTGCCACTGCTGAACGGCTAATGGTTGGGTCTCAGCCACGCCCAGTCTTACCATCTCACACTGCGCATAGAAAGCATCATAATCGATTAGTGCGATGCATCGCAACGGACAGGTGGTTGATGATTGCGCGAGCAGGTGGAGATGCTTGTAGGTGAAGCGCGATTTCTTCCTCCTTCCACCAGTCACGGGCGAGGAGGCCAGGAACGGTTGTGAGGAGGAAGACATTCCACGTCCCAGAGCTGGGGCTTTGCTCACATTTCCATGGCCTGCAACGTCATTCGCTGCTGGCTGTCAGCTGGCAAAGATGCTTGAGCCGGCGTGGGCTGAGACGCGATCATCTGGACAAATCGACGCGTCAGTTGCAATATGCAACCTCTCAAAGGCAACGGCGCATCTTATCTTATCATAACGCTTACCTAATGGAGGCGGGTTAGTGTGCTTTCCACGTGACTATGTTGGTCTTGGCAGCCTGGCTTCGTATTGGATCCTTCACTTCTACGCTGTCGGTTCTCTCATGGCCGCCTTGCCTAGAAATTCACTCAAATCCATGCGGCGATGAGCAAACTTTGTCGTCCTGCAGTCTTCGACGCCTTGCTTGATTCGGACAAAGCGTCGACACATATCTTGACCTGAAATAGACAGAGACTGCTGCCTAGACAGTAGCTTCATTCGGTCAAGAGCTGTTCCGCTCCCTCAGCATCTCCTCACTCACTGGGTATAGATATCCCTTCCACAACTGCTCATCCTGAGTTGACAGAGCATCGTGATCAACGGCGGATGAATGTTGGGCAGCAGCCCGGCAGAAGAATGTGGATAAAATACACCGGGCTCATGGGAGCCGTGGCAGCGGGACTGGCCTACACTGGTTCAGCCTTCCTTCTGCAATATCCCGCAGACCAGCACAATGCCAGCCAGGGATTCGACTGGACAGGTATCAGACCATCAAAAGAGCTCAAGTACCACAAGTGCTACGGTCTCTTTGAATGTGCTAGATTAGAGGTGCCGCTTGATTGGTCCAATCTCTCGAACTCGAACACTGTCGCCCTTGCAGTCACAAGGCTCCCTGCTGTCGTCGATGTCACAGACGAATCCTTTGGTGGCACCATCGTCATCAATCCAGGCGGACCCAGCGGCTCGGGCGTTGCAACTTTACTGTGGAGCGGAAAAAGCATTCAGAACGTGGTGGACAGTGACAAACACTTTGAGGTTTTGTCATTCGACCCGCGGGGAGTACAGTTTACAACACCTAGTCTGTCATGCTTTCAAGATGACTCTGTACGCCAGAATCTCCACCTAATGTCAGTGGCGTCTGGTAGCCTCGAATCAAACCAATATGCATTGGACACCAAATGGAGCATCGACAAAAGCCTCGGCCTCCTCTGCGCACAGACGAGTAACGGCAGATATCCGGACGGCTCGAGTATTCGGCGGTATGTCAGTACTGCCCTGGTCGCTCATGATATGGTGGCAATCATTGATGAAGTCGAGGCACACCGACACCGCCAACTGCCCTCAGATGGGAAGCATCTGCAGAAGCAACAGACCGCGTTCCTGTATGACTCGGAAAACTGGCCTCCACTGCTCAACTACTGGGGCCTGTCATATGGCACATACCTCGGTAATACTTTTGCCTCAATGTTCCCTGACCGGATCGGTCGTATGATCCTGGATGGTGTTGTGGACGCGGATGACTATGCCGCTACGGGCTGGACCACCAACCTCCAGGACAACAATAAGACGTGGGAAAAGTTCTTTGACTATTGTTTTGAGGCTGGCGATAAGTGCGCCTTGTCCGATGCTTCGATACGCAGTCCTGCAGAGATGCAGGAGGAGGTTGAAGTCTTTCTAGCCGAGTTGAAGCACAACCCGCTCCCATTAGTGGAGAATGGGAATGCCTATGTCCTCACCTACTTTGACCTGAAAACCATCATCCACGGTCATCTATATCAACCGATCCAGCTATGGCCGGTCTTAGCTCTCCTTTTAAGAGCCCTGATGGAGCGAGACGAGAGAAGCGCGATTTCCGCACTGAGGTCCCCGAGGACGTGGTATACCCGTGGAGATCGACACTTCCACCCGTCTCTGCCCAATTTACCCTTCGTACCCTTACTATCGCAAACTCTCCTGGAGCAGGAGTTGAGCCTGCCAACGAGCTATCCTTGGCAGCAAGAGGCGGCCATCTCCATTCTTTGCGGCGACGGCGATGACATTACCTCCCGGACCAAGGAGAAATTTGCCGAATACCTCACCTTGCTTGAATCTCAATCACCGGTGGTGGGCTCTGTTTGGGCAGAGATCACGTTACCCTGCGTCCACTGGCAGAAGGTGAATCGTCCTTCAGCCGAAAATCGATTCACAGGCCCCTTTGCTTCGAATCTGTCTGACTATGATCCTCGAGGCAGCCCGCTCTTGTTCATCGGCAACACCGCGGATCCGGTCACACCGGTAGGCAACGCGCTCAAGATGTCCAAGAGTCATGAAGGTAGTGTTGTGCTAACGCAGGATATGCCCGGGCATTGCGCCGGATCAAGCAACCCGAGTGTATGCATATTTAGTATCGTGAAAGCTTTCTTTGCGAATGGCACGTTGCCGGAAGCTGGCCTTGTTTGTGAGGCAGCCCTTAAGCCATGGGATGTAGGACGTTGAAACCTTCCGAAAGATTGCAGCACCGAGGTCGAGAAATGTGCAAAGCTAGCAATAAAGTTGGCGGAGCGTGCTATGACCCAGTTATACTATATATGGCCGTGGCATGTCCTTGGAAAGGCGGATAGCAGTGCACGTCACATGGAACACATCAAAAGCGGGACGGAGCAGGAGAAATCATCTATGTGCCCCACGTGAGAGGTACAACTGCGCCGTGAAAATGCGATGCAGTTCTAAGTCCAAGAGCAGTTTCAAGACTTCCTCCAGACAACCCAAGAAACGCCCTTCTTGCTGGTATGGGCCCGTTCGGATGACCATTTATAAGCCACCCAAGCGGCTCTGAAGAGCACTCCCCAGCAGAAGACCGCCAGCAGAAAGGTCCACCAACTGCTCGAAGACTCTCGTTGGATCACATCTGTGGACCTCAGTACCTGCCCATTTCGGTCCAATGCTGCTACACGGAACCAAGAGTACTGCGACAGCTGTTCCAGCTCGAAGGTCTCCTCATAAGACTCCTTGTCCACCACGTCTAAATCAACGAAGCCTTCATCATGCTCGCTCGCGCCCTGCAGCACCCACGCGGCCACCTCTGTGGCCCCATTCCAGCTCACATAGAGGGTGTCGTCTAGAATCTTTGCAATGGGAGGCTCACGAGGCCTCCCCACCCAGTTGGCGGATTTGAAAGCTCGATATGATACGGCCGTGTTGAAGACGTGCAGCCACGGCGCTCCGTAGTGCGTCTCGCACAGCAACGTCCCGTTCAGAGTGAACTCGCTCAAAACTGGAGAGTGGCCGAATCCAACGAACACGTGCCGACTCGCAGGCAGATATTGGGTCGAGCCCTGTGAAGGCGTGCGAGTGTGGTGTAACGAGATGTATGAGTGCAGAAACGTGACCGTCCGGTTGGGCACGTCCAGCTGGAGCATCATCCCGCGGCTGTACGGCCCATCGATGTGCAGCGGACCTCCTTCCTTGTTGTCGAAAAGGGTGATGATGCCGGCTTCCTCATCCATCCAGCGGGCATCGTGCTGCCAGCGGAAGGTCAGGGCCTCGCCCCCGGAGAGGTCTTGAAACTGATTCCGTTGGCCGCCGAGGATCCACAACATCTGGCCGTCGGGGCTTACGCAGCTGACGGAATGGGTGTGGCGCGAGGAAATGAGATAGTTGCCCTTGGAGTCCTTGTCCACGCTGTTGATGTGGAAGAAGTCGAAGGGGATGCTCTTGAAGTAGCCGCCAAACGGGTGGGTCATGAAGGTCTCGTTGACCTGGAAATGCTCCGAGGCTCGCCATTCGAAGAGCAGCTCGCCCGTGGCGATGTCGACTTCTTGGAATCCGCTGTCGATCAGCCAGCCGGTCTTGGTCTTGCCGAGCGACGACAGGTCGGCGGGCGTGACGTTGTAGAAGGTCAGCAGCGCGGTGTCGTCTTTGGTGATGAGAAACTCGTGGAGGTCGCCTCCAAGGCCGACCGCCGAGACGGTGTGTTTGACGTCGTATGAAGAGTCCAACTGCAATATGGGGCGGGCTCGTCAGTATTCCATTCTGGCCCTTTCGCACTCGCTATTCGCAACTCGCGACTCGCACTCACCATGTGATAAACGCCGCTCCCCATGGTCCCTCCCTTCATGCCCGTCCAGTAGGTCACGTACTGCTCTCCCTTGTACGTCTGCACTTTCAGGTTCGTGGTCGTGCCCTCGGTCTCCAGCTTCCACACGAGCTCATTGTCGGGATCGAGGATGGCCGGCCCGGAGCGTGCCATGGACGCGCCATTGAAATTCAGAAACGTGTAGGCCTTGTCGCATTGCGGGTCGGACTTCCTGGTGCTGATGCGCGGCGAGCTCAGGCCGTTGGATATGTACGTCTGCGAGGGCGAGCCGCCATAGAGGCCCAGCTCGTACAGCGTGGGATGGAGTGTCGGCGAGAGCACGATCAAGAGTGGAATCGCCACATACGCGACACTAAGATAAAGCACGCCCGCGCCGGCGGCGACCAGGATGGCATACAAGAGAAGCCGAACAAGCAGCGGCTGCGACTTGGCCTTGAAGCGCAGCCTTCCCATCAAAGGCATTGGACTGGGGAAAGGGCATGGTGCGTGTCAGTGAACTGTTGGGACCCCGAAAAACTGGCCATCCCGGACTATATGTGATTGTGTTGAAATGATGTGGTGTTCTGTCCCGGTCCCCGGTCCCGGTTTTCGTCCAAGATCGTTTGCGCGTGGGTCCTCAAGTCCAAGTCGCAAAACTACGAACTTTGGGGTTGGCTTGCGTCTCGGGAGATCTCAAACAGGGGGAGGGGGGGTGGTGGGTGGATATCCCCCTCTGGCTAACACGCGTATCTGTTCGACAACGGGCGAGGGACTAGGAGTATCTTGTCTTGAGAGCGGCGGATTGGCGACGACACTAGGACTGGGCTCCGTACTCTCCACGGTCAAGGTGGCAACGGCAGCGGCACACACACATCGACCACGGGGCTACGAGTACCACGCTGGTCCGCATAATTTCGGGGGGGTGGGAGGGAGGCTATGACGATGGCCGGCCGGCCACGAGCTTGCGAAGATCTTCACGCTGTTGTCAAACCTGCACACACACACACAACAAGGAGCGAAGATTGGGGATGTGGATAAAGGTCCCGGGCGATATGATGGGCTTCCCAGACGGTGATGAAACACCATCCTATCAAGAGCGCATGGGGCGCCGACGGCGGCACCGGTGGAGAATGCACGAGGCGCGATGCCAACGCTGGGCTGATGCCCATATCGCCAGCCAGCGCGAGCGGAATGGATCACGACAGGTCTTGGAGGCTTGGGAAATACGGAGCAGAGACGCACTACCGGCTTAGAATGGGCCACACTGGGCCACACTGGGCCACACAGGCCGCACAATGGAGTGACAGGCTCCGCCGCCACTTGTCGCTTGCAGGCGGCTGTACCTTGCCTAGACGATCCACTCTCGGCTAGTGCTGCCATGATGGCGAGCATGCTGGCTTAGACACTGAGATATGATACGAGGAACAACACTGTTGATCGGCTATCTGCCATCACTGATTTCACGGTCAAGCAGTCCGCAGTCTTTGTCCTGGCAATTTACCTTTTTTGCCCGTTCGCACAGCATGCTCGACGAAGAAGGCTCGGGTTGTGACATGACAGTATCACGGCAGTTACTTGTATCGACGGCTGTCACTGTCCGGTGGTGGGATTGGCACTGGCACTGGCACTGCCCTGGACACATGCGTTACCCAGTATTGTGTATATTGGGTACTGGGTATTCCGTACTGGGGACTAACTGCTGGAGATGCCGTTCAAGCCGACCGAGGAAGCCAAGTGCCACCCCCCTCCCTCCTCCACCACTACTATCGCCACCAGTAGTAATTACAGTACCCAGCACCACCGCTACCGCTACCGGAGTCTGGCACCGGTAATTAGCCGCTCGCATCTCCTGCCGCGAACATCGTGCCTCATTTACCCCGACAAGCCCAATTCTGGTGAACTCCTTTCGAGATACGCAATACCAAGGCTTTGGATAATGTACTGGATATGTCCGCTTCGACACCTGCCTCTCCGAGGGCGATAGCCCCCTTTGTAGGTTCGAAATAGAGTGTCGGCCGTCGGCCACGAGGTCATGTTCATTCCCATGTCCCATTGTGTACGAAGATACCACAGTATGTCTGGTTTGATGATCGGCGCTTTGCACGGCGAGGGCCACATGATCGATATAGCCTGTCCAAGTACTGTATTCTGTATATCCTCTAGCTCCCAACACCGCACGACGAACCAGCCCACACTACTCGGACACAATAGGCGTCTTGCACATGGAAGGAATCCTCGTGCAGCACATCCCATCCACATGCGTCTCCACGTGTTTCGAAACTCCACTGTTCTCCTCCCAAACCTGGACTGTGCAAGGAACTCTGTACTCCGTCCTGTGGACAAGTCCAAGCTTGGATCGAGGCGCAGCACAGCCACGCAACGCCAAGCAGAGGGACGAGTCAGAGGGCGGCGATCGACTCCGTGGTAAACCCGTTCGAGCTGTGCTGTCCGTGTCATGAGCGACAAACAAACACAGCCGTGTCGCTGGCTGTCACCGATGCCACCTCGTCACTCACTAAAAGTGCCGTCACATCCCACTACTGCGTCTCTGTGTTAGCCGAACTCCCCTCCTGACCTTCACGTCAATTGCACGTTCATGCGGCCCTTTGCAAGATTGGCAAACGGGCCCGCGTCGGCGTTGCGTGAAAACTGCTGCTCGCGCCGCCGAATGCCCAGATACGGCAAGTAATGGCCCGGGTGGATGACGACGAACAGCACGGCGACCAGGAGCATGAGCGCGGAATCAAAGGCGTAGAAGAACCACTCGTGGTCGATGAGGTAGTTGGTGGTGCCCATGGCGAACTCGACGAAGCGCAAAATCGTCCGAATCAGGATCAACACGTTGGCCACGTTGATGGCGGTCAGGAACAGCTCCCAGTTGCGCTCCTTGGGCAGGGCCACGTCGCGCATGCCGCGGCGCAGGAGCACGTTGAGCCGCAGACTCGCGACGACGAAGAATCCAAACGCCGCGAGTTGCAGCGCCAGGCCGACCATGACGATGTTCTTGCCCCGGTTCGCGCTGGCCGCGGTGTTGGCCGCCGCGACCATCGCGCCCCCGATCACCTGGACGAAGAAGCTGAAGACATCCGACCCGACGAAGACGGGCGTGATGCGCCGCGCCGGCACCCAGAGGTGGCGCGCCGTCTGGAACCGCGGCGGCACCACCCACAGCACGATCCGGCCGAACGCCATGTAGCACGCCGCGGCCATGACGGCCGGCGCCACGAGGATGACGACCGTCTGGATGATGAACAGGCCCCGGCTGTCGAGGTCCTTGATCGACATGGCTCGCGTCAGGTAGCCGACAAATTCCACTGCGTGGGCACGTCAGTAAGGGGTCGTCGCACACGAAAAAAGAAGCACTTGTGTGCGCACAAATCTCGCTCTTCTGCTCCTGGGCATCGAACTCGCCGTGCACGCTCCGTGCAAAAGAAAGGTAGGGATGAACGGCACACTCACATGATACCGCGAATATCATCACCCACCAGAACCAGGCTCGGTGCCAGATGAACTGCACCACATTCGCCGCCAGGACGGCGCTGAAAAGGATCAGAAAGATCACCGCCGCGGCGAAGGATGGCGCATAGTTGTATCGGCCCTGGCTCGCGAATTGCTCCGGACTCTTGTTGCCGGGTCCGCTGTCGTCGTTGGTGTCGCCGTCGGCGGCGCGAGCAACGAGGTGCACGAGGTGAGGAATGACGGCGTCGAGAATCGCCATCCGGGAGATCTCTTTCGTAGGTTCTGCTGCGGCCCTGGGAACTGACTTGATACTGTAGCTGATGGTGGTAACGTGATGGGTTGGCCTGGGCAGGCAGGTAGGTAGGTAAGTAGGTAAGGAGGACAGTATACGAAATGCAAGATGCAGACGCCGATGCCACTTAAAGACCAATTCAGAGTACGAGGCTGAGGCTGAGTCTTAAATCCGTGTGGGCATCGCTTATCTGTCGGTCGTTGTGGCAGTGTAGTGTAGGTCTTTCTTGTCGGCGTCAGCGTCAGTGTCAGTGTCGGTGGGGTGCAGCGATATCGAGTCCCTCAGGGAGACGAGACTCAAACGGCTTGCAGTTTGCAATCTACAGCCTCATCACGCAATGTGTGTATGTATGTATGTATGTACGCCCTCCGTAGGCCGTACGTGACCATGCACTCTGAGGAAATGCGAAACCTCGCTTTCGAATCCATCCCCCTATACGGAGTACGTACCCCCACGGAATACAGGTGTATACGACCGACGCGTGTCTTGTCTCGAAATGTCAACTTACTGGCTGATACTGTAGCCAGGCAGGCAGACAGGCAAGCAGACGGGGTACCTCCTCCTGAATCCTAGCCAGGTCTGGATCTAAGCCCACTGAACTGGCCAGTGTGGTGGGTACATATGCAGTCTCGACGGCGATAAGAGCCTCTGTCTGCATTATCAGCACATATCGCGCATAAAACATCAGGTACAGGTACAGGCGGAGGTACCAGGCACCAGGCACCAGGCAATATGAAACCAGGGACTCCGGAATAATCATAATTTCCTGCAAATAAGACGAAATAGGGGCTCCCGATATGATGAGTCTCGCAACCCCTTCCGAAGGCGGTTTAGCGGGTCCTCTCGCGCCCTGGGAACCGAGACTCAATTCCGGAGGATGGAGTACATACCTCGTACCTCGTCCAGTAGAGAGGGAAACGTGTCGACCTCCGAGGCTGTGCGTTCGAGGCGAGGCGAGGCGAGGCGGGACGAAAGCACTCACGAAAGCCGACCAGACAGATGAGAGGAGGCTGTTGCTTTGTGTTACGCTACATGTTCGTTTCAGCATCGATTAGGTACCTCGGTGCTTATCACTTACTACTTACATATGTCCTCTGCAGTACTGGATGGAGACGCACGATTCGGTCACGAAGCATATTTGTGGGTTCGTGGTGTCTGCCTCGCACCGGTGACCGTGATGGGGACTGGGATCGGACCGGCCTTCTGTCAACACAGTACGCTATAAACTACTACAGTCTGCAGTGCTCCGTATTATAGGCCGTGAAGACTGTTTCCTCCCCGCGCATGGGATCGTACTGCGTGTCGCGCGACTTGTTTCGGCAATTGCGTTACGAGGTGCACGCCGAGTCCGGTAAGTAAGGCCTCCTCGTCCGGAGTACTGTACCTCGCAGTGGCCGGACAAGGCAGTCATGGACAGTTGCGCGCGGTTATTGATACTACATTCACATGCATAAGGGGGACCACTGATATAGCATTCCACGATCCAATTACGGAGTACCGTCATGTTTATCCTGCTGCCTGCTGGGCCTGCTCAACCTCTTTCCCCTGGTGTCGCCATGACGCTTCCCTGGTCCCGTCCCCGGTCTGGCCTTTCGATTTGAGCCTCTGCTTCGCCTGTTTCGCCTGCTTGGCTTGCTTCTTCAACTGTCGCTGGCTCTTGGGTGCGTTGGCCACGATTGTCACGTTCTTTGCCCATTTCTCCTGCGCTGCAGCTTCATCCTCGTCAGTCCATGCACGCGGCAGAATCGCAAAGACCAGGTACGACGTATGGGTCTTCAATTCTGGCTCGGTTCGGTGCACAAGTCTCCCTTCGTTGAGGGGTAATTTGGTGGGAGCTTCTGGCTGCCGATTGTTCTGTTTCCTCTTCCCACTCCTGCCATCGTTCCCGGCAGCCTTCCCGGCATGGAAATCCTTTAACCTCTGCTCCACCTCCCGGAGCCGCGACACAGCCTCGTCCACGTCCGCCGCATACAAGTTCACTCCGCGCATCCCGTCGTATCGCTGACTCGTGTATTCGCGACGGACCTCAACGCGCTTGTGCTGCATCTCAACCATCTCAATGTCAATCCAGTCGTGCCTCCGGAGCGCCGAGACGGTCTTTTGCGCCTGCTCAATGCAAGGGCTGAAGGTGCATATATGCACTGTGGACTCAGGGTCGAGGACGGACGGTGTGCCGTCTGCACCTCGCTGCCTGGTTAAATGGGGGAGTGCCTCCCATGGTGCGGGCAAATCGAGGAACACCGCGTTAGCTCGAGGAGAGGTTGGACCCCTTTGTTGGTCAGAGTCATACACCAAGAACCCGTCTCTGTACACGTCGCGGTGCGTGGCGTGGACGATGGAATCAAGCCCGTGCAATGTCATTTCTGCTTTGACTTTCTCGTGGCGTTCTTGGTGGAACTCGTACGTGAAGACCCGTCCGCGAGCGTCATCAGGCTCGCTTTCTTCACCACGAGCCTCTTCTTCGCCATTCAGAGCTTGGACACCATCGGTGTCGGTCTCTACCTTGCCTGCCTGACCCTCGCCGGCAATCCCATCCCCATAGCCGCTGAACACTGCCCGCGCCGCCGCGTGCGTGAAACTCCCACTCCCGCTACCCGCTTCAATCAGCCGAGAGCCCGGTCTCGCGCGGATCCGATGCAAGACGTAGCTGTAGTCGGGCGTGTAGACGACCTGGGTCCGATGAGGCAAGCTGGTCGTCCAGTTCTCCGGCGTGGGGGGCAACACGTGAATGAATCCAGATTCTGCCACCTCAGCCTGCTTGACCTGCGCGCCCTCTCCAAGAGTGGACACTGAGGGCGTTTCAACGTCATCGATCTTCCGTTTCTTGTGGCTTTTCGTGGTGCGACCACGGGAGCCCGTGTCGACTTTACTGGCTCGGACTTGACTTCCCCAGGGAACGTTGATTATCGTGCTATGAGGGAATGATCCGAAGCGTGTGTTGGTCACGACGCCTTCTGCATACCCTTGCTCGGAAGCGTTGGTGACCTGTGTCGAAAGGATAGTGGGCAGGGATTGATCACGGCGGAGGTGCAGAGACGCGAGATCGCCGGGCTTGGTGTGCAGGGACGGGGAGAGAAATGTTGACACCATTTCTTATTACGTTTGATGTTATCCTGTGTCGAATCCCTAACTGTTCTCGAAGCATGAGACAATCCGATCTCGAAGCATGAAAATTGAATCTCAGAATTGTGCATGAGAGGTTAGCGCCGGGGTCGGCCGCGTTTAGGCGAGACGCTAATGCAAACGACCAATTTAGCGGGAAAGGGCGGGCGGAATAATTGGATTTTCCGAGCCCGCTTACCATTGTGGCATTCCATTTCCCTGCGCATGGTGCTGTGACTCAGGACTCGTACCACTTGTGCACGGCTATGGATGAGTCAACGAGCTGGGTGAGTGTCTCATGAATTATATGAAGCGCGCTTTCTCCTCAGCCGCTTTGAATTTCTGCAGCAAATCTACCAGAATGGCACAGCCCGCTTGGTCGCTCCCGTCAGGCTCGACGCACCAGCCCCAATTGAAGGTCTACAACTCCCTGACTCGTTCGAAAGTCCCCTTCGTGCCTGCACAACAAGGGAAGATCACTTGGTATGCCTGCGGTCCTACAGTATATGACGACGCTCATTTGGGCCATGCCCGCAACTATGTGACCACCGACATCATTCGGCGCATCCTGCGGGATTACTTTGGCTTCTCGATTCGCTTTGTGATGAACACGACAGATATTGATGACAAGATCATCTTAAGAGCGAGGCAGAGGCATCTGTACGATGAGTACAAGAACAAACACCGGTATGGTCAAGGTCGGGCTCGAGGCAGGTCGTCATGTGGCTGACCCGTTCCAGGTACATTGACGACCAAGTCCGTCAAGACGCGCGGCATGCCTGGCACTATTACATACACCGCAACTTGAAACGAATAAATCCCAAGACACTCATCACTCCCGAAAACTTCGACGGCCTGATCGAACCCATCTATGGGGACATCTTGGCGGGAGGAAGCCTTGAACCAGGCACCAAGCCAGGTGATAAGGAAGCAAAGATCAAGATGCACATCAATACTGCTAGAGGCACTGCGAGGGCATTGATGCAGGATCCAAAGCTCCTGACGCCGCACGAATTCTACAATCGAGTGAGCGACGTCATGTGCCTGGTCTTGGACGAGCAGCTGGGCAAGACAATCCGCGGAGACGACTACGCCGTATTTACAAAACTCACCAAGGAGTACGAGCAACGCTTTTTCCAAGATATGCATGACCTGAATGTGATGGATCCCGATGACCTGGTGCGAGTGACCGAGCATGGCAACGAGATTGCAGAGTTTGTCAAGAAAATTGTCGACAACAAGATGGGCTATAGGACGGCGGACGGCTCAGTGTATTTCGATATCAAGGCTTTCGAGGCTGCCGGCTACCCGTATGCCAGGTTGGAGCCATGGAATAGGAACGACAAAGAGCTCGTAGCTGACGGCGAGGGCGCCTTATCACAGACTGAAGCCGCCGTCAAGAGGTCGGACGCCGACTTTGCTCTGTGGAAGTCGTCCAAGCCGGGTGAGCCCAGCTGGCCAAGCGAATGGGGCCCCGGTCGGCCCGGGTGGCACATTGAATGCTCAGCCATGGCGTCTGGAAAACTCGGCTCACAAATGGACATCCACTCTGGTGGCATCGACCTTGCATTTCCTCACCACGACAATGAGCTTGCTCAGAGTGAGGCCTTCTGGGCAAATCATGGCCAGTGGGTGAACTACTTTCTCCACATGGGCCACTTGTCAATACAAGGCTCTAAGATGTCCAAGTCGCTGAAGAACTTTACCACCATCCGAGAAGCTCTCCACGTGCGGAAAGACTGGACGGCGAGGAGCCTGCGAATTGTTTTCTTGCTTGGCAATTGGAAAGACGGCATAGAGATCACAGACGATATGGTCACCCAAGGCAGGAGTTGGGAAGATCGGGTCGACAACTTCTTTCTCAACGCCATCGAGGCAATAAAGGAGTCGAAAGCGACGTCCGATCAGAAAGCAACATTGCAAGCTGCACTTCAGGAGGCTGAAGAACGGGTTCGCACTGCATTACTAGATTCATTCAACACCCCCATCGCTATGGAAGCAATTTCGCAGTTAATCAGCATATACAACAGCGCCAAAAAATCTGATTTGACGCCACGAGATCATCACGACGTCGCAATATTTATCACTCGTCTGGTCAATATCTTTGGCTTGAACGGCTCTGAGCCTGCAGACACGGAACAAGTTGGCTGGAAAGGCATCGAGATCCCTGACGCTGCCAAAGAATTCGTCTACCCATTGGCAAGGATCCGAGACGAGCTCCGGCAAGCCGCCATTGCCAAGTCTATCACCGTCGAGAAAGTACAGGAGATCGTGTCGACATCGCCATCGGGCCTAGAAGAGCCGCCTACTGTTGGTAGGCCTCGGCCGTCATATGCACGTGCGTTAAGCGAGTTCAACCGAGACGCGCTTCAAGCAGCCTCCTCACCACCCAACACTAATTCCTCCTCCGATCTGAACAAGCAAATCCTCGCCCTCTGCGATCGCGTGCGAGACGTCGACCTCTGGCAACTCGACATCTACCTCGAGGACCGGGAGAACGCGCCCGCGCTCGTGCGCCCCGTCACCGAAGGTCTGAGAGCCGTACGGCGCGAACGCGAAGATAAAGCCCGCGCGAAAGAAGAGGCTAAACGGCAACGCGAGCGTGAAGCTCAGGAACGACTGCAGAAGGGTAAACTGAGCCCGACTGAGATGTTCAAACCACCGCATTCGAATGAATACTCTGCTTGGGATGGCGATGGTGTGCCCACGACAGGAAGGGACGGTCAGCCACTTACGGCGAACCGGGTGAAAAAGTTGAAGAAGGAATGGGAGCAGCAGAGAAAGGCGCATGAAAAGTACCTCGCTGCTGTGGGAGGCAGTAGTGCGGCGCCCGCATCAAATCGCGATGGAAGCGGATCTGGCTCAGCTCCTCAACAGCCAGGAGACAGGGTTACTGTCGCGGGTGCTGAGGTTGATGCTCGCTAGGAGGGGCCACGACCATCAGCGTGAGCGCTCAAACCGCAATATCGTTCCTCACGCTACCCTTGTCCAGTGAGGTTGAGACCATGCCCGTTCTTGGTCGGCAGATCGAGTAGCTAGCCTTGACCGACGGGTATTCTTACCGGGGTCTCATCGCCACCCATCGTGTCGTATGCTGATACGATTGAGATGACGTGGGACAACTCATGATATTCGGGCGGTGCCCAGAATCAAGAAGTAAAGCTGCTCGCTGTTCAGATTCAAATTCATTCCAGTGTGGTGAGATATTGACTCTATCTCTAGAGGTCAGCATTGTCGAGCTGGCGGACTGGCTGGGTGACTGGTTGCTTCACTACCGTCAGGATAGAGTCGTGTACGTTCTCCAATCGGACTGCCACTTGAGTTCTTGTGTCTTAGAGTTGGCTTCAGCTCGTCGGTCTGATTGGTTTGTAAGACACATCAATTGATACTTCACGATACGCGTAACTGCCTTCAAGACATACTTTCCCCGGCATCCTTCTCGCGTGATGCTCTCAAGACTCAAGACTCTAGACTCTCGTTCCACAGTTCGCATCTCCCGTTAGTTCCAATCAACGAGCTCACCTACTGACCGGAAGAATGTCACCAACAACGTCGACCTTCCACCTTCCCAACACCCAGCCGCCCATCCCCGTCACACACCCAGCATCCATCTCTCGGGACCAACTCCTGGCCTTTCCTGCTTTCAAGACCTGGCTTAATACTTTGCGCCACTCCCTTTCCCTCCAACGGTCGTCGTCGTCCCACCCTTTCCACAACTCGGCCTATTCTCTCAAATCAATAGAAATCCAAGCCGTCGACCATTTCTCGGGCCAGCGTCTGGGCTTCCTGAAACTCAAAGCTCAAGTCAGCAACGAAGATGGCGAACATCTCCCAGGCTCGGTCTTCATGCGCGGCGGGAGTGTCGCCATGCTCATCATCCTCACTCCCTCCGACAGCCCGCATGGCTCAGATCAAAAGCCCCAGGCCCACAACCAACCCACAACACCGGAAGAATACGCCATTCTCACAGTGCAGCCGCGCATCCCTGCCGGGTCGTTGTCCTTTGTTGAACTCCCCGCAGGCATGATCGACGACAGCGGCACCTTCGCCGGCGCTGCAGCCCGAGAAGTCCGCGAAGAGACAGGCCTCGAAATCTCCTCGGACGAGCTCGTCGACATGACGTTGCTGGCTTCCCAACTAGACATGGACAGGTCGAGTGCACAGTCTTCTCCCATCCCGTGTCCCTCCCCCTCGTCAGAAGAACGGCTTCAAAACGCGATGTATCCCTCTCCTGGGGGCAGCGACGAGTTCATCCCCATCTTCCTGGCTCGCAAATCGTTGTCCACGCGTGCGATCGATGAGCTGAAGGGCAAGTTGACCGGGTTGAGGGACCACGGCGAGAAAATCACCCTGAAGATCGTGCCGGTCCAGGACGTGTGGAAGGTCGCGTGGCGGGACGGGAAGACACTGGCAGCCATGGCCTTGTATGAGGGTCTTAGAGGGGAGGGGAGAGTATGAGATGCGAGAGTGAGGAGGGAGCTTTGAACACCCCTGTATATGATGAAGGGGTTGGACTACCACGCTGTCTCCAGCCAGCAAATGTGGCAGTTAGCTGGGAGTCTAGTTTGCCGGGAAGAGCGATTCATTCTGGGGACGGTGAACTGGCAGGCACATTCTACGGCTAGGTAGCATGGAAGCGATCAATCTCATCTTTTATGGGCATAGCAATGAAAAATGTATCAATGGCGAGCGAGAGCTACAACAAGGACAAGGTACCTTGCGCTGAAGAAGCCACACTGAGCCAGTGTATGCGGCCGCTTCAGGCAATGCAAGGCAATGGCCCTCTTACTCTTGATTTCATCTCTTCCTCTTCAGACTCAATCCTATCAATCACACGCTGAGCGTCCGCGGCGAGACTGTAAGTGGACGCGGTATTCCATTGCGATCGTGCATGTCACTCCTCCCGTTCCCTCTCCAGTCATTCTGACACGATCTCTGGTCATACCGGCCGCATGCGTCCTCGACGTCTTGTCAGGTGCTTGCTGCTGCCATTGCTACACCTGGTCATGTAGTCACCGACTTTGCAAGGGGAGCGGTTGGATATCAACATGCACTGGCTGTCGCGCGCTCGGTACGGGCACCATGTGTCCAGTTGATAGTAATGGGCCCTGATTAATTAATAGAGTGAGCGACGATCGTTACATCCATGGCCAATGTTGTGGCGCTGAGCACTGTGCTTTGTCTCTTCCAGCTGATCGATCTTGGTCTATAACAGCTTTGGATTCGGAGTCGATAGACGTGAATCTTGATGCTGAGAAGAGCACACAAGACAGAGGAAGGTCGAGCGGACAGATGTGTCCGAGTCGCGTAAAGATTTTGTCTGACGATGTCGCTCTGTGTGATCACTAACCTACGATCTTTTGGCATGACTGTGTCACGAAGCCTCAATTCTCACTTCGATCTCCAGCCCACTCGAACCACTCCTCCATGAGCCACATCCATCGACACGAGACCACCTAATGAAGTCCAAGCACGCCACAACTAGCATTTTATGTAGCAACACCAGGACCGGGTCGAACCACCGCCTCGCCTCGCCTCATATCACTCGGGACACTTGCGCCATGACCAACAACAAGCCATCACCCAAAGAACCAGCCAGCACAATCACACTCCGCAACCCTCCGTTTTCATATTTCCATCTCCGCTTAACTTCCCTCGAACAACAACCCCAGCAACCTCTCGACGAACTCACAATTCGCTCATATCTCACGGCAGCACTACAGCAATACCTTGGTCTGACAGGCACGGCCATCCCGATCGACATATTAAAGGTCGAGCAGCAGAACGCGTGGATCAGAGTGCCGAGAGATGATGAAGTGGCCATCACAGCGGCGATAAGCCAGTGGGTCGGAAGCAAGGGCGTGAACCTCAGGATCGAAGCAAGAGGGACTTGGCTCGGTGGTGTGGTCGCAAGAGGAAGAGTGGGTGGGAAATTGTGGTCCCTGGAGGAAGGTTGATTCATTCATTCATTCATTCATTCATTCATCCATCACGAGGCTACAGGATCTAACTCGGCGACCGCCAATCTAATCCAAGAGACGCACACTGAACGCCGCGCCAGCAGCAACAACTTTACAGCAGATGAGCCGACATCCAAACCGTCTCAAGCCAAGTTACACGGCATGTTCACGCAGCCAGCGCATCCGTCAGTGTGGTCTCGTCAGAATCACCGTCGGAGTCTTCTTCGAGGCACTTTCCCTCGGCGAGCGTGGGTCTCGACTTCTTCCTGCGACTGGCGCGGATCCATCTGATCAAAGGGCTCATGGTCTTCTGTTCGCCTGCACACACCTGCGTCAGTCTGACTTTCGGCCGAGGGAATGGAAGGAACCCATGGAACTCACCACCACCGAGGCCTTTCGCCTGCTGCAGCGCCGGTTCCCGAGCCGCTTTGGCTTGCGCTCGAAGCGACTTTTCTTCCTGCTTTCTCTTCTTCTCGGACGCTTTCCACGCGGCCCGTCGCTTGTTATACTCTTGGACTTCGAAGTCGTGTTGAACGGAATATCCCGAGACGGACATTTTCGGCGCTGATTAGGACTTAAATTCGAAGATTCTTGATTCAAGTTCTGCTGAGTGACAAATGACGAACCACAAGCGGCAGGTATTAAACGAATGAGGTTTGGGAAAAGAGGCGTCTAGAATACTGCGTTAGGGGGCGTTGGCTTCTGCTTCTGTCGCCCTATGAAGGAAGCTGGGAAACTCGAGGGAAGGAACGGTTGAGAGCTTATTGACAAGATGAGAGCGTGGTCAGGGTGATTGAGACCGAAGTCAGATCTTTCAGGTCGAAGTTTCTAACAGATTTTTATACCATTCACGCGTGTCACTTGCGCCGCACAGATCAGCGACGCCTTATCAATCGGCATACGTATTCAGCTCCAGGAGAACAGGGCGAGAGGGTGAAAGATTTTAGAGCGCGGCCGCCGCAGGACCATCCGTCCCGGTACATGGCTCACGGGCAATGGTTCAAGACCATTCACGCAGAGAAGCGCAGTATACCCCGGGCCATGGTATCCCGATGCAGCGCGTAAAGGGTAGCCTTGGGTCTAGAGCGACAATACGCAGGACTGGTCCTGACAACGCTACAGTACCGACGCCGACAATGACATTCACTGTCTCGTATCTATGCCTGAAGTTATCCCATGTACATCGCAGCTACAGTACCTCAGTACGTACTTACTTAGCTGACCACCTGCGTACCTAGCTACCGACCTAATATACTCTGAACATGACCGTCACATCAGATCAGATCATTATCACCACTCAAGCATAGGGCACTAGCATTGGACGCGGGTTGGCGGACTCAACGTCTTCGTTCGAACGCACAGCGGGCCATGTCCCGCCGAATCGACCCGGGTGTGCCGCTGCAGCGTTGGGGACGCGCCGACTGCTACGGTACATTACCAGCATAGACTGCTCGTTAACAGTGCATTGTGTTGCATTTTCGCTTGCAGGGTGCCTCGATCCTTAACCCCGCAGGAACCCTTCCATCCTTCTCAAGGTACAGTACGAGCTTGGCTGGCGCGTACCTTGTGTGCCTTTGCCGGTCCGGATTTCCAGCTCCGCTATGTGCGGGCCAAACGCCGGGCTGGCTTCCGAAGATGGGAGAGGTACTGTATAATAAGCATGAGTAGACGCCTTCCTACACTGGCTGTCCTGGTCTTCGGTGATACGACCGTCCCTAATTCTGTGTATTCGATCGGCCTGATGACAGTGCTGCCACTACGAAGGTGTCTTTGACTTCTTGTGCTTCTCCCGCATAGCTCGAATTATTGGGGGTTGCGGCTCCCAGCGCCCTCTTGCTGCAGATGTGTCGAGGCGGGATCCTGCGGAGTTCAATATTGGTCCGGAGCACGTAGCGACCAGGGTCAGCATACGATGCTGAACCCAGCTTGGGCTTCATATGACGCGCACAGGAATCAGGGAGAAGGCAATCACGGCAATGCACCAAGTGTGGTTTTCAAAGGCAGTCCTAGGGGCGTAAAGACAGACGAGCTTACAAATGACAGTGATCAACAGCGTCGTCATCCTGGACCCAGGACCACCATATAAAATCAACAACGCGTACATATGTGTATCCTTTCCCTTGATGCACAGTGTTTCGACTAAGAAGATATAACAGAAACGGCCAACGCCTTGTTGCGCCTACTCTCGCACGTCTGAAGATCATAGCATCCAAACCCACACGATGAAGCAGTGGTTCAGTGACCTGTCTGGTCTCGCTAGCTTGAAGCAAGTGACGGCGGATGTACCAGAGCCGGGCGCAGATGAGGTCTTGGTAGAGATCCATGCCGTGTGTCTGAATTATCGAGATGTTGAAGGTAATCAAGTCCGCAATACTCGACACATTCCTTGCCTTGAGCCGAGCCTGGTGCTAACAAGCGGCCCTTGCCCACAAGTGTGTATTGGTGACTACGATCACCATGAATCCATCGAGTCACCTTCGGCTGTCGTTCCGTGTTCCGACATGGCGGGAACGGTGGTGAAAGTCGGACCACGAAGCTCGCCTGACCGCGAGAACCGCTGGAAGGAGGGTGACCGGGTTATGGCGATCTTCAACTTGACACACCTGACAGGGCAGATCACCGACGAGCATCTGCCGTCCGGACTCGGGCTGCCCCTTCCTGGCGTGTTGGCAGAGTATAGATGCTTCCCCGATGAAGGCTTGGTGAGGGTACCGGATTACCTCAGTGACGAAGAAGGTTCAACGCTACCGATTGCTGCCGTCACTGCATGGATGGCCCTGAACTGGATGAGACCGGTCGGAGACAGCATAAAAGGCAACGATACGGTGGTACTGCTGCAAGGCACGGGTGGCGTATCAATCGCCGGGCTGCAAATGGCCAAAGCTAGCGGGCTTACGAGTAAGGCCCCGGCAGATGTGCGCACGTGGTGACTAACAATGCTCTCAGCAATTGTCACGTCGTCGTCGGCAGAAAAGCTGAAACGAGCGAAAGAGCTTGGAGCCGACCATCTCATCAACTATAAGACGCATCCTAATTGGCACGACGAGGTCATGACCATCACCAACAACAAGGGCGTCGACATCATCCTTGAGCAAGGCGGCCCAGAGACGCTGGCCAAAAGCTTTGCTTGCGTCAAATGGGGCGGGCTGATATCCTGCATTGGCTACCTCAGCGGCAAGATCGATAAAGCCGACAGCGTGGTCAACACCAATGTGCTTGCGCTTCGAAGGAACGTCACCTTGAAAGGTATCTGGAACGGACCCAGAGATCGACTCGAAGAGGCGCTGGAGCTCTACAAGGAGAAAGAGATTCACCCTGTAGTGGACAAGGTGTTCGGATTTGACGAAGCGAAGGAAGCCTTTGAGTATGTCGCGGCTGGAAGTCATTTCGGCAAGGTCGTGATCAAGGTGCAAGGGTGATTGCGGTGCAGACAGAGAATCGGATGAGGTGCATAACAGTCCTTGCTGCTCAGCAACCATTTACAGGATTGTGGCGAGGGCTGCGTGCACACATCCATTGAGCTCCAAGTGCAGAATAGGGGAACTTCTCGGCATACCTTCCTCTCCACCCAGCAGTTCGATAGAGATGAACCTCATCTTCAACTCATCTTCACCTCATCTCCACCTCATCTCCGGTTCTCTTTCCCTGTCATCATATCCATCGCTGATGCTCGAGGATAGTGACACCGGCAAAACCACATCATCCCAGAAGGTCTTGAGATCAATGCCGAAGTCTGATGTTCCTAGCTTGCTTTTGACTCGGACTTACCGTGATAGAGCCATACGCGCTTCTGAAGTGATGAGTTCTGGAAGTGGTCCATTGAAACTTGAAACCGACTGTGCCATACATTGGAGTGTTCGAATGAGCTGAGATACGTTGCGATCATGGTCGAAAGCCACACGGCACCTGCGCCTACCGCTGTCTTTGTGAAATCTTGTAGTGAATACCTCCTCCACCCAGCCACCATCAGGAGTCTGCCAAGCAAGGTGCGGCAGTTTCTCTCTCACACACAGAGCTGTTTCCCACAAAACCAAAATGAAATCGAGCGAGAGAAAATCATGACGCAAAAAAGGAGAGAACAATGGGATTTGACGCCGTCATCTTTCTCCTCAACGTCCACGAGCTCCTACACATTTTTGCCAAACTATAACCACTATGGCCCTGTACAAGTCACCAGATCACCCGAGTTAGGAGGATCGCAATGAGAGCCTCTACGTTTCTTTGATGCTTGTACATCCACTCCTGGCTGTGAATAAGGGAGATGTCTGTCGAGGGTGGAAGGATTCCAGCACCCATTGTCGGGAACAATTTTGTGGAAGTAACTGATATGGCCATGATTTTCGAGTGAAGATGGCGGGAACAGCGCTGGCAGGGCGAAGGTGAAGGAAAATATCGACCATTGTACAAGGCGGTCACTTCACTCAAGAGCTCGGATGGACGCAGGTCAGTTCGACGAAAACGCGCTTCACGGCCAACCTGCAAGTCAAACTATGCTGACTCCTCCTAGAACAGCACTACTCGACCATATCCAGGTCAAACTCGTTGCCTAGGCACTCTGGCCTTATGACAGTAAACAGCTTACCGAGCACGCATGTCCCAGGCTAGCGACAGGAACCGCCGTCACGCGGTGTGCCCGTCTGTAGTCAATTCAGTGACCGAGACCAACATCGAGTGTACATTCCCAAGCCCGATGTCGACGATCACGCAAACGGTGATCTGAAAAGTCAAATTCACGACAGCAGAGCCTGTTTGTTCAAGGAAACGAACCTGGTGACTACCTATCTTCCACTGTACAAATACCTGCCCCGCCGCCCTCGCCCTTGATTACATGGTACCTTATCATATGGAACCATCCTCCGCGGCGCACCCACCAAGACAGGCTTCAAGATGAAGTGCGACCAGCCATGGTTTCCACGGGATTGCGATGCAGCCATTGCTGCCTCGAAGCAACATGGGAAGGTAGGCACAAATGACTCTCTCCGTAAATCAGCCTCGTCGGCTTCGGGTAGGATCTCCAGGATGCCGGTCTTTGGCAATTTCCCTGGCCCAGAAGCCAGTTCAGTCAACTCCTCACCAGAGAGCTTCACATCTGAGCCGGCGGTGGGAGCGTCAGTCGCTTCTCCAGTCTTGGGTGGCGCGACTACAGTTTTGGCTTCAAGTTCTGCCTTGAGTCTACCATCCGAGACAAGTTTCAATGCATTGTTGCCTGAGACCCGACCTTCCCAGACTGACGCTGAGCACGGGCCACGGCTTACATCCCGCGAACCAGAGACTGTCTTGAGCCATAGCCATGACAGTAAGTCTCTGCATCATATTGACGACAAGCCTGTCGATAAGGATAACGAAAACAATGATCTCCAAGACATTGCCGTTTGTCCCGAACAAAGTGCTGCTTGCAGCCTGATCCAGACGGACACTTCGAACGGCCGTCCGCCAGCACAATCCTTTGTTCCAATTCTAAGCGACTTTCCTGAGCAACTTTTGGTTCAAGCACAAAGACAAACATGGCTCGACCAAACCGTCGGTTTCGGAACGCAGGACTCACTGACCGATTTCCCGAAGGAGAATATCAACTCTGATCCCGCACGTCCTTACCCAGCTGCCCTGCCACGACGGGGGTCGACTTTAGCAACACCACCGATTCACGCTTTTCATCGAGGTCCCCAGCGCCAAACTTGCAACATGTGTCAGGACTATAAGAGCGGCATGCGATGCGGATTGCCGATCCAGTCATGCAGCCCAACTACGCCATCGCCGCTCTCCAGCACATTCAGTCTGAAGAGCATGCCTGCTACGACGCCGGCGTCAAGCACGTCAAGCTTCAAGAGCTTACTTTCCGCGACAAATTACGCTGCAGTGAAGATGTGTGACGCCGAGCGAGACTACGACAACATGTACCAACACCCCTTGCCACCACAATATGTCGACGCCATGACATTGACAGCTTTGCCGCCTCCACGCCAGCGCCAGCGCCAACACCAGCTGGGAATAGAGCCCTTACCACTCCCGTTGTACGGAGATTTGATCATTGAGCGCGGCACGCATGTCAATGCGAACGTGGATGTCAACACCATCGCCCAAGCCAAACACAACGCCCACGCCAGCCTGAATGACACTGCAGAGACGAACGACATGAAGATCATGAAGATCGCAGATGAACACGACGTCAACAGTGTCATTCAGGTCGCCATTGACACTGCCATTGCCGACGACAATGCATGGGACGAAATCACGGCCGCCATGCCCACCGCGGTAGAGGACTTATCCGTCGCTTCCGTCGCAGGACAAGACGCTGCTCCTATTGCTGATTCTACGTCTACCTCATCCTCTGGCCACCACGTCTCTCTCGCCTCTGTCTTCGCGCCCACTCCCACTCTCACTACGGCATGCGCGCTGACCTGCACCCCAGCCTCACCCTGCGCAGTATACCCTCACAGCCGGGATTTCGAATGCCGCTCCATCCCTCGGAGCGTGGAGCTTCACAACGTTGCGCTTGAAGCCTTGGTTCGAGAGAGCGAGCCTCTCACCTGGGAGGAAGTGCGCGAGCATGAGCGACAGAGAGGGACAGCCGTGGGGGAGGCGGTCCTGGTTCTTTCTCAAGTGCCGGCGGGTCGGCGCGTCAGTATCGCGCCGTAGCGGGATAGCTGGATAGCAGTGCAGTTGTTAGCTGTCTCGCGCTGGGGAGATGATCCCTTGTGTGCATAAGGAAAACAGTGACCGGGGTTTCCACGGGTCACGACCGATGACATATCGGAAGGACGCGTTTGGGCGGTGGGACGCACTGTGTCGGATGGACGGATAGACCTGAAGACACTCTCAGAACATTCAGTGGGATGGGATGGGATGGGATGAACAGCTTCTACCGGTAAAGGGTATCGAAGCAGGAGTGCAAAGTGCAATGTCGACGGCGAGGTTTTAGGACGATGGCGCGCGTAGGATACATAGGACGCCGAACTGCATTCCAATGTTTTGATATTGTACATAATGCATGTCCTCGCACGCAGTACGGGCATCGGCTCGCATGGAATATGGACCGTGCTTCGAGTCAAGGGAGGCAAAGACACTCGATACCACTGACAATACACTACACCGTACCAAGTTTTACCCCTTGCTTCTTTCATGCTTGCAGGTGGGAGTCGCCGAGATATGTACACAGCAGCACAGGCACAAGCACGGTATATCCAGCCCGTACGAGACAATACACAATAGCTGATTCACACTTTGTCCGGATGCGCTACCCACACTACTCGAAGTCAAGACGCCAAAAATCCAAAGACTGTAATTACTTGGAGAACGCTATCGAGGGTATCTGTGATCTGTAAAACGTACATGGTACTTACTCGTCCGCACCGAAGTTCCAATGACTAAAGCCCTTCCCTCCTCGTGTTCCTCGCATTCCTCTCGTCTGCCAGCACTACGGCTGTGCTTCAAGGTCGTCCTTCATGCCATTCTGCCCTGTGTGGTGGCTGTAGGTCGTCCATTCATGCCATTCAAACCTGTGGGGTGGCTGTAGGTCGTCCGTCCATGCCATTCTACTCTGTGTGGTGGCTGTATCCTTCCAGCGAGTTGGACTTATTCCGCCTCACGGCAACTCGATCCTCGCAATTCAATTCTCGTCCGGCGGACTGACGCAGCACCCGCCTCATGACACGCCCTCCGCAAGCGGCGTGGTCACACTCTTACGGTCCAGGATACCCTCATCCGCGGCACTGAGTAGTTCCGCGCCCGTGGCTCGCGCACTGCTGTCTTCGTGACCGTTCTCTTGCGGCTGGCCCATCTCGTCCAACAAGGGGATCTTGTCGATCGACTCCCTCTTGCCGTGGCCCTTGGCCGCATCGCCTCGTGTGATGTGTGGACTTAGTTCGGCGTCCAAGGGGCCTGTCGGCGGAGAGAACATTGCCGCGGGACTGTTCTGCCACTTGGCCACGTCTTTCTTCAACTGCTCCAGTTCTTTCTGGAATCGCTTGCCAAAGACGTCCATGTAGTAGTTGGCGCCGTTCCACACCGACCAGCTGAACACGGTCAACAGGAAGCCGGCGCTTGCCCAACGGTACCAGAACCATATTGGACACGGGATGATCGTGAGGATGGCGTAGGAGTATTGGATCGCCATAAAAGCCGGTTCTTGCAGGTATATGGGTAGAGAGTTGACGAACTTGCCGATCGTGGTTTTTGCGTAAGATCTGCGCAGCCACGTGAACGAGGTGGGTCGTCCGGCCGCGATCTTCTCTTTACGTCGGACGGTGATGAAGAAGTGGTAGGAGAGTTGCCAGACGGCGTAAGGGACAGTCGCCCACACGAGCATTGCCCAGAGAGAATAGTGGTCCGGCGACCCTTTGAGACTGTATTTGATGGTGTAGACGGCAGGGAATCGCTTGAGCAGGTACTCGTCCGGCGTCAGATGGACAATGCAGTGGAGTGCGACGGGAGGCATGACGTGGATGAACAGACTGACGACTTTGTCCATGGAGTGGAAGACCAGCGAGTTCCTCCACATGACGATTGCGACCGCGTTGTTGCCGTACGCCAAACAGTAGGCGCTAATCAGAAGGCGCTTCGACCGCGGGAATGCCCAGATGGCGAGGAGGTCGAGAACGTTGACAAAGTAGCAGAGGTCGGCCAGGAAGTAGTGGTAGCCCTTGCGGTGGTAGGTGTAGGCGCGTATGGGCATGAAGTACATCAGTTGGATGGTGTACCACCAGTAGAAGTACTGCGGTGCGGCGCCTATCAGATATCCGCTGACGAAGACGTTGAGCACGGCCGAGATGAAGGACACCTTCTCGCGGATGGATATGGTAACCACTTCGTTCCACCTCTTGTTCAGGTCGTCCACCGACCTCTTCATACGAGATCGGTATTTGGCGAGTTGCTCGTCAGCCGAGGGGACCCGTTTGCGCCATTCGGCCATGGCCCGGTCTCTGGCATTGTTGCCCGTGGTTCTTATCCTTTCCTGCTGGCGCGCCAGCTTCTCTTTCTGGGCTTGTATTGTGGCCTGCCACTTGTCGAGCTTCGCTGGTAAGGCTAGGTTGTCGAAGATGTCGAAGAAGCTCAGTTTGTCGAGCGGGACTTCCCAGTCCTCCTGCATCGACTGGCTTCCGATGTAGGACGAGTTCCTGGACAGCATCATGGGACTCCCGGGCGAGGACGACTGGTACCCCGACTGATAACCGGGTGTCAACGCACCACCGTTCGACGAGCCTCCGATATCTGATCCGAGACTCCCGGCAACATCGTTGGCAACTCCTTCGTCCAGGGCGGACCCCGACTTCGAACGAGGAATCGGTATGGGTTCAGACATGGTGTCCTACCAGGCTAGAGCCGTGGCATCGAAGACGGGCGCAGGCTGGAAAGGCTCGACGAGGCTAGGAAAAGATATCTGGCCAAAGTGAATGAGGATGCGACGGGAGGAGGATATGAATATGACAGCGGAATTCGAGGCCCGGAAATGCTGGGATGTGGGATGGGGTATTCGCCAGATATACTAGATCGGCGAGGAAAGGGAGCAGGCAAGCAATAGTTCTTAGGCGTTACTGATAGAAGAGAAGCGGCACGTGCCAGTTGAGGAGCGACGGTGTGGGCTTAGAGGTCACGCTCACCAAGAGGCACATGAGCCTGGTAAGAAATAGCCATGTATACAAATCTAGGCCCCGTGGTTTTTGTGGTGTTGAGAACAAGAGGCTGCTCAGCGTGCAGACATGAAGCAATCTTAGTGGCAGATCGCAGGCCACTACGTCAGGGCTAGGCGGCTTCGGGTGTTTTCAGGGTCCCCACAGACTTCCAGTAAGGATCGCCACAACAGCCTCCGGCGCCCCCAGCAGAGGCCGCAGTGGCCCAGGTATTTCACCGCGGCCTCGCCCGGCTTGATGTTTTTCCGTCCCCGCGCGACCTTCCCCCCACGCGCATCGCTAATCGCGTCGGCCCTCCACTTGCGCGTCGCACTGGTCGCAAGTAAAGCGCAATCACCAACGAGCGCAACAGTCTCATCGTCGCCTCTGCGGTCCCCAGTCGTTCCCCTCCAGTCGCAAAATGGGCAAGCTGATCAGGCTCGAGCTGTACAACTTCAAGTCCTACAAAGGACATCATACCCTCCTCTTCGGCGATGCCTACTTCACCTCGATCATCGGCCCCAATGGCTCCGGCAAGTCCAATTCCATGGATGCCATCTCCTTCGTGCTCGGGATCAAATCCTCACACCTCCGGTCGACAAATTTGAAGGAATTGGTCTATCGCGGACGTGTGCTGCAGAAATCCACCATCAATGGAGAGCCGCAGACCAACGGAGTGGCCAGCCACAATGAAGAAGAGCCAGGGTCTCAACTCAATGGCACACAGGAGCGCAATGACCCCAAATCCGCGTGGGTCATGGCTGTGTATGAGGACGATGCTGGCCAGGAGCAACACTTTAAGCGCACCATCACCAATCAGGGTGTCTCAGAGTATCGCATCAACGATAGGGTGGTGACCGCCAACGACTACAACGACTCGCTGGAGGAAGAGAACATCCTCATCAAGGCTCGCAATTTCCTGGTTTTCCAGGGTGATGTCGAGGCTATCGCCACGCAGAAACCTCAAGATCTGACCCGCCTGATTGAGCAAGTCTCGGGCAGCATCGAATACAAGGCTGAATACGACCAGCTAAAGACCGAGCTGGACCAGGCCGCCGACCAGCAGACGTTCCAGCTCAATCGCCGGAGAGGGATCAACTCCGAAATCCGTCAATACCAAGAGCAGAAACGGGAAGCCGACAACTTTCAGAAGAAGGCTGCTGAACGCGATGATGCAATTGTCACCCATGTTCTGTGGAAGCTGTACCACCTGCAGCGCCAGATCGAAGAGTCGAGCGCAGAGATCCAAAAACATCAGGACGAACTGAAGGAATACCGCCGAGGAATCGAGAAGTACGAAAAAGGTCTCGATGCTGCGAAGAAAGATCATGCTCTAGCGTCAAGGAATGTTGGAAAGGCGGAGAAGTTGATCAAGGCCAAAGAGAAGGAGATTGAGGACAAAACTTCTTCTCTCGTCCCCATCGATGAACAGATCTCCGTGTCGACCAAGCAGCTTACCAAATATGCCAGCCGCATCAACAGCATCGTCAACGAACGCACAGCCCAGGCTGGAACCGTGGCACAACTTGAGAAAGATCTTAGCACCGTTGAGAAAGCGCAGGCCCAATGGCAGAAGGAATGGGAACAGAACGCGACGCGCCTGGGTGGTCAATTGAGCGCTGCTGACCTCCAAGAATACACTCGGCTCCGCGAAGAACTCAACAAGCGTGCCTCTGCCGATCTGAGCCGCATCGAGAGACTCAAGAACGACCGAGCACCCATTGAAGCCACGTACAACAACCTCAAGAATAGCGTGGAAAGCACCGAGTATAAGCTGAAAGTACTTGAGAATGAGCACGACGACATCAACGAGAGACAGCAACATCTCAAGGAACTCGTCCAGCAGACACAGAGTGAGATCAACGAGAAGAAGAAAGAGTTCAACGCTGCACAGTCGAAGCGACTGCAAGCCGCTCGGACGAGGACTGAACTCGACGAGAAGCTCGCTGAGGTGGCGCGAAAACTCCTGGAGGCTGATGACGGCCGTCGCACAAGTGAGAAGGAAATCAGAATGAGGGAAACCATCTCGATGCTCAAACGCACCTACCCTGGTGTGAAAGGCCGCGTCAATGAACTCTGCAAGCCCAAACAGAAGAAATACGGTGAAGCCGTCGCGACCGTCCTCGGCCGTCACTCTGACGCTGTAGTCGTCGACACTGAAGCTACGGCCAAGCAATGCATCGAGTACCTGCGTGACCACCGCTCGGGCCAGGCGACCTTCATTCCGCTGGACACAATCCAGGTCAAGGCCATCGGCTCGAACTTGAGAGGTATGCATAAGGGCATGCTTCCAGCTATCGAGACAGTGGATTATGACCAGTCCGTTGCCCGAGCCATCTCATACGCATGTGGCAATGCCATTGTGTGCGACAATCTTGACATAGCAAAAGAGCTATGCTACCGGCGTCACGTCGACGCGAAGGCCGTCACTCTCGATGGCAGCGTTATTCATAAAGGTGGCCTGATGACCGGCGGCCGCGGAAGGGAAAGCAACACCCGACATACCTGGGACCAAGCTGAGATTGACAGGCTGAACAAGCTCAAGGACAAGTTGATGGAAGACTTTGCTGCTCTGCCGCAGGAAAGCGCACGTCGAGCTGAGGAACAGGCTGTCCAAAACGAGATCAGCGGTCTGGAAAACAGGCTACGATATGCCAAAGAGGAACTCGACGCTCTGAACAAGAATCTCAAGAGCAAGAAGCGGGAGGTCGAGCATGTCAAGCAACAGTTGGCCGAGGAGCGTCCCAAAGCGAGGCAAGAACGAAGCAAGCTGGAGAAGATCGATGAAGACATCTCCGATTACCAAGAATCAGTGAGCAATATCGAAAACGAGGTGTTCGGAGACTTCTGCCAAAAACACGGGTTTGACGATATTCGCGATTACGAGGCTCGCCAGGGCTCGCTCCAGCAAGAAGCCGCACAGAAGAAGCTCGAATTCGTGACGCAAAAAGGTCGGATTGAGGGACAACTCAGCTTCGAGAGGGCCCGGCTTCAGCAAACAGACGACCGCCTCCTTGCTCTGAGGGATAAAGAGCAGCGCGACAGGCAGACGATTGACGAGCTGAATGAACAGCGCGAAGGCATTCAGAACGACTTGAATACGCTCAAAGACGAGCTTGACGAACTCCATGCTCAATTGGATGAGCAGAGAGAGCTACTCGCCGCTGCGGCTGATAAGCTGGCCAAACAGAAGCAGGAAGTTCAGAAGCGGGCCAAGGAGATGGAAAGTACTTTCCGGACCATCAGCGCTCTCGAAGGCGAGATGCAGCGTCACTCATCTTCTCGATACACTCTGCTCCGCCGCTGCAAGATCGAGAACATCGCGATTCCCTTGACCGAATCTTCTTCGAGTCTGGACAGCGTCCCGATCAACGATCTTCCCCTCGAGGAAGCCGATGCCATGGATGCCGACGAAGACGAGGATGAACCCAGCTCCTCCGCGCTAAAGACTCACATCGTCAACGACTACGGCATCGAGGTCGACTTCGACGCCTTGGACGAGGATCTCAAGGAGGAAAATAACGAAGCCACGGAAGCGCAGCTGCTGGACGAGATTTCCAAACTCAACGCCGCGCTAGATAAAATGCAACCCAATGCGCATGCTGCGCAGCGGCTCGCCGCCGTGGAACAACGCGCCAGGGACATGGAGCAAGAATACGAGGTCTCCCGCAACAACTACCGCGACTTGAAGGCCCGGTTTGAAGACACGCAGGAGAAGCGCAATGAACTCTTCCATAAAGCGTTCAGCCACATTTCCGAGCAGATCGAGCCGATTTACTCGAACCTGACCAAGTCGGATGAATTCCCCGCGGGAGGACGCGCATATCTCACTGCCGACGAGGATGAGCCCTACCTAGCCGGGGTGAACTACCACACCATGCCGCCGACAAAGCGGTTCCGAGACATGGAGCATCTGAGTGGCGGCGAGAAAACCATGGCTGCGTTGGCATTGTTGTTTGCCATCCACAGTTATCAGCCCAGCCCATTCTTTGTGCTTGACGAGGTCGATGCCGCCTTGGACAACGCGAACGTCGGCAAGCTGGTGAATTACGTGCGGAACCATGCTGTAAGTCCTCGTCCATGTGTTGCCCTGACTTTGACCCCTTCTCTGAAGCAGTCACCGGTGTCCATTCCTGAAATGTGTGCTAATGGAGATCTCAGGGTCCCGGCATGCAATTCATCGTGATCAGTTTGAAGACCGGCTTCTTCCAGGGCAGCGAAGCGCTGGTTGGTGTCTATCGAGATCAGGGCGCCAACAGCTCCAAGGCTCTAACCCTAGATGTAAGTGTTCCCTTTTCCCCGTGTTTTCTATTGCCTGGATCGATCGCTAACGATTCGCAGCTGCGGCGATACGCATGATCGCCTCTTCACTGGTTCTGCGAGAATTCTTGACGGCGTGACTCGACAGAAGCTTGGCTGATGGAAACATATGTATGTACGTTGAGAGATGAAACGGAGGGATATCAGAAGTGGAGGGCATCATGTGACGCGCTGTATTTATCCTGTCTTTGGGATATCATGAGAGACGATGCAGCGAGTCTCAGTACAGTACCGGGTTCTAATGCGACAGTAGTGGGTGTTCCTTTGCGAGGGGGCGGGCAGGAGCTCCAACGACATGTGCGTTTATGCTACCGTGCTCCAAACTCCATACTGCAAGTGCTGTCTGTCGAACAGCCCTCCAGGCTACGTTCGTTCGCAGCCAGTTCAATGACTTGCACGACCTTGGGGCACGGAAAGCCTGTTGATTGCAGCTTCGGTGTCTCTCTCTGTCCGGTCGTGCTGTCCTGTCCTGCGAGCTCGGTCGGCCGGGTATGTACCGTATACCTATCATTGCTCTACGCCTGTACGATTCCCATGAATGTGAAGTGTTAGAGCTGGTAGACGCGATGACGTTGATGAATACGAAATTATGACCGCACTTCGAGGCGGTTCACATGGTGAGTAATCTACGAAGGACACTGAAGGAAGATCTCGGTTTGGTCTGATCTCAACGCTTCTGATTTCATGCCGACTACTCCGTAACAAAACATGACCTGGAACCCAGCCCGGTGCATGCATATCATGGAACTTGTTACATGTTATTCGGCTACATATACTACATAGGCGGTCCGTACCGATCGCAGTTCCGCAGACATCGTCTCAACACTCGAATGACAGACGCCTGATCGTTCGGATCGCGGCTCCTCCACAGCTTTCTCACGGAATTCCAGATCTCTTCCACTTGCGACCGAGAGCCCGTTGCGTTTGCGTACGCTCGTAGAAGCCAGCAGACGAGTGCTCGTGTCGCTTCTACCTGGTACTTGGAGTTGGTGGGAATCGGCTGGCTGTCCCGCTCGTCTTCATCTTCGCGTTTTGTGTCTCTTGCTTGGTCGGGCTGTGTAGGAGGCCCTTCTGCGGAAGGTCCTGCATTAAGATTGGACAGCAAGGAGTGGTCGTCGTCATGCAGCCCTGCGTCCGCTGACGCTTCATTTGTGTCAGACGCAGACGGAGAATTCGCTCCCTCGGAAGAAGTTCGATTGGGGAAGAATGGATCCTGAAATTCGGCACTGGACGGATCAATTGCGAGGATCGGAGACGGAAGCACGTATTCTCCTTCCTGTTCGTCCAGTTTCATATCGCCCAGCGGGTAATAGTGTTCCTGCTTCTGTGGTGGCGCTTCCTTGACTGGAACACGAGAGAATGGGTTCCGAATAAGGCGCTCTTTCTTTTCATGTTCTTCATCGAATAGCTCGGCGTGGACTCGCTCGATGTGTTTCCGCCGTTCACGCGGGAAGGCGGCTAAATCCAACACAAAGTTGTCCCACTCGCTCAGTCGCTTGAATTGATTGATGGGCCGCGTTGGTACTTCTTCAGTACCCGCTTCATTAATGACTCTAATTGATGGCAACTGAGGAATAGAGAGATCGGCCGTCATCCTGGCACGCCTGCGGGCGAGCTGTCCGTCCTTGATCTCCTGCCGGCAAGAATCCCAAGCCATGTTTAATCGTTTCAAGCTCCAAGCCGCATCAGGGTTTCTGGTGGCACCATGGAGAGCGAAGCCCTTGAAGAGCAATTGATAGTGGATACTTTGCAATGGTAGCCCGAATAACTCCGACATTTCACTGATCAACACCGTGATGCGGTTGAGGTTGCCAGACATATTGGCATGATAGGATATCATCGTCCGGTAAGTGACGTGATCTGGCCTGAGGGGTATGATCTCCTGTAGTGCTTTGTGGTGCTCTGGTAGGATATCTTTGAGTCTCCGGGAAAAGAGCAGCGTTCGGTGCAATGAGTTCGCCGCCAACTCGCGATCAATGACCTCTGACCCCGGTCCCGGATACTGTCGGTAATATGCAGTTGAACCATCACCTCGAGTCTCCCGGCGAGTATTGACGTGTAGACTTTTCATGCGCTCGTAGATCTGCTCCGCAGCTGCGGGCTCCTGTGCGTTGTACAATGCTGCCATGACACAATTCAGAACGAGGGTGTCAACAATTTCTCCCGCATCGACAAAATCACGGTAAGCTTTTCGGACGGCATCCCCGTCACCTCGTAGTCCATGATAGTATATGACACTAACACGACCAAGCCTATTGAGGTGCAAGCCACGATCGTGCATCTCCTTGAGGATTGTTTGGGCCAAGGGAAACTTGTTGGCTCTCACGGCGATGTCAAAAAGAATGTTGAAGGTGACGTGGTGAGCCTTCACCCCGGCCTCTTGCTCCATCTGCTTCCACAGACGCATCGCTGCATTGACTTCGGTGTCTGTGACCTTGGAGAAAGACCTTCCGGCCAGGTAGATGGCGGATGCCCATTCTGCACGCGAAATTGGTAAATTGGCCTTTTGCATGTCGTCAATGAGGGAAAGATATCGGATCATCGACTTCTCGCTCTTCTGCCATGGCGTTGACATGCGTTGCAGGAACACCCTGATGGTTCCTTTTGGGAGGAATGCAACGCCTGGCTGGGGCAGCCTTTTGTAGGCCTTGAAAAGGGCTGCATTCGAAGAGCGGTCGTCAAGGAGCAGGTCAACGAAAACCTTGAAGGCAGAGACTTCCCGGAGTTGCCTGGATTTAATCATCCGCTCCACTTCCTTTAGCGGCGATTCGTATGCCTCTTCTTCGTAAAATTCCGCATAAGCCTGCGGCGGCGCGAAGTCCTCGGATAGCTTGAAGACATAGTCTTCCAAAAAGGTCGGAGTAGGAGACGCATGGGGCGATTCCGGGTCGAAACGACTGGTGTGGGTATGAAAGTAGAGATCAACCAAATTCTTGTAATCGCCCTTTGACAGAACGACTTTGGGATGCTCTGCCTCTGATGAGGACGTTGCAGGAAGCTGTTCTCGCGTCTCGAGGTTCTTCCGCAGCGAGTCGCTCAAGCTTATCTTTGCCCTCGCCAACTTCTCCTCAAGCTGTCTCACAGAGTCCATGAGTTCCATCTGCTCTTTCAAGAGGGGTTGGGATGAATTTGGGCCATCGTGTTTCGCCTGCTCGGCTGTCTTCGTGCCTACATTCTTATGGAGGACGTCGAGGTCGTGGAAGAAGGCGAGAGGAAGTCGACTTTTCCTTGCGAATGCCAGCGTATTTGAGTCGAAGAAGTCCCAGCCGGTTCCATTGTCATTGCGCCGGGGCCGTTTCGATGCTCGTTCCGACCCTATGTCGGCTTGAGGAGGAGGCTGGTCAACGCAGCTGCTTATACTCCGGCGCTGGGTCCAAGATATACCGCTGTCCTTCTCTTGCTCGCCATGCCTCTTCCACCGCGCGCTAGTGGGGGGGAGGCAGGATGCACGTGTTATCGACGGACGGCTTCGGTGGCATTCTGAGGCTCGAGATCGTGCATTGTAGGAAATTTCGGCAGCTTCAGGGCCTCGTCGGTATTTGGCGGTGTATTCCCGGTGCCGCCCTCTTGAAGCAATGCCCGAATCGGCCCTGATAGCAGGCGCGAGGAAATCGCAGCTGGTAACCGTGTAGGGTGCTGCTATAGAAGTTGCATTCGGAAGGCTGTTGCATCCGAGAATCTTGGAGGGACGATGCATATGCTTGGGAACATGATGCTCACGGCCTCATCATCTGCTTTGATCGAGTCGCAAGTGCCGATTCAGGTTCAGGTTCGTCAAAGGCATATGTGAGGGAAGAGTGAATCGTGATTGAAATTGCCCAAACGGGGTTTTCGAAGTTGCTCCACTAGCGCGCGTTTTCGCCGCAGCTCCAACTCGCCCGCAAGTTCTGTATTCGGCATCTCTATCTCTTTGGTCGACAGGGGTTCTGTTGACAGCACAGGGACTTCCTGGACGGTAACGAAGTTAGCCCGGATCACAGAGCTTCGTTGCGCCAGACTTTTGGAGCGACAAAGCGTCAGTTTTCCGATCCAACCGCCCATCATGGGTCGTTTGAACCTCACGGCGTTCAATGTCCGTCGAACAGCCCTTGCGAAATTCAAGTCGAAACAAATACCAGCCCTTCCAAATTGGGTGGACATTATACAAGATGTCCCTCCAGCGCAAATCCTCGTCCGCCAGCAACCCATCAAACATGCTTTGACCAAAGTGCGCACACGAACCCTGCCCAACGGGAAGACGGAGCAATACGTACAAATCTCAGAGCCCAAAAGATCCAAGTCAGCCAGGGCTCGTCACGTCTTCCAACCGAAACAACTACGATATGAGGAAGACTCGTTACGCAAAACTTTCTTCAGCGACCACCCCTGGGAGCTCGCACGCCCACGCGTGATAGTCGAAACTTCAGGGGATCAACACAAAAACGCAGACTGGTCAACGGGCCTCGTGCAGCCCGGCATCCCACTCTCAGGCGAATGCGTGGTCCAGCGACAACTCTGGTTGCTGGAAAACGTGCCCGACATCACTGTTGCCCAAGCCTATGACATCGCACGCAAAGAATTCTACACCCTACGAAGAAGAGAAGAATTGAGAGACAAAGTTGCCGCTGAAGAAGCCAGACACATGGGCGCCAAGTTCGGCAAGTCGCAGATGGAGATTGCCATGGGTATTGAGAACGCGATGTACAATGACTGGGAGAAGTGGAGTCGGCAGGTTGTGTTTGAGCAAACAAGCAGGGTGGCCGCCTTTGAGGGCACCGTTGCAAAGGAAGAGGAGGATGTGCTAAAGGACAATGTGCTGGCTGAGGACCCTTCGCGGCAAAGACAAGGTAATGGACGGCCTGCGATTGGGAGTGCCGTGTTTGCTCAGCAGGCGCAGTTGGACTCGAGAATTCAGCGACGTGCTGGTCCGTGATCGCATGGGACAGAAACTCCAGGTGATGTATTTTGGTATCATAAAACTAGTACAGGGTGCGACTTCTTGCTCTTCTTTGTTGGACGTGATCCTCCGCTTCAACTGAAGCCCTGATTCACACTCTTGCATATCTCCCTCGAGTGCAGTCATTCTGAAGCCCTGTCGACTGCCTCTGGATGCGGATACCAACAGACATGTCGACGTCTAACTGCCCCATCTCGAGATTGTCTCGCGACAGCTTTGAAGTCCGCAGAAACGGCCTCTGCGCTTGACGCATATTCAACCACATTTCACGGAAAATCCAAACAGGATTACTCGAGCAACTCCTGAATCCGCTCAATCTGTTCTTCGACACTCTTCTTGCTCGTCCCCCCAAGAACGGTCCGCTTCTCCACACTACTCTCATAGTTGAAGGCCTGCATGACATCGTCGCTGAAGCGCTTGTCCACTCCTTGCAGCTGCTGCAGGCTGAGTTTGTCCATTGGGATGCCCTCCTTCTCCGCAAGTGCCACAACTCGTCCGGAGATATGGTGCGTCTCCCGGAAGGGAACGCCCTTGCGGACGAGATAATCTGCCAGGTCAGTGGCCAGCATGTCTGGGGTGAGCGCAGCCTTCATTTTCTCCGGGAAGATCGTCAGAGTCGACAGCACACCAGTGGCGATTTGAATGGAATCTGCTGTTGCCTTGACGCCTTGGAGCATGGGCTCAAACGATTCCTGCAAGTCTTTGTTGTATGTCGACGGGAGCCCCTTGACGGACATCATCAGCCCGGCCATGTATCCGAATACTCGCCCGCTCTTCCCACGCAGAAGCTCCAATGAGTCTGGGTTCTTCTTTTGTGGCATGAGAGAACTGCCCGTGGAATATGCGTCTGCGAGTCTCACAAAGCCGAACTCGGCAGTCGAGTAGATGATCAGATCTTCGGCCCAGCGAGAGATGTGTTGCATCAGCGTAGAGGCCCACTGCAGTGTTTCCACCACGAAATCTCGGTCTGCGACCGCCGCCATGGAGTTGTTGATTATGCCCTCGAAGCCGAGTTCTTTGGCCATGGCCTCGCGATCGATGCCGAAGGGGTTACCTACTAAGGCACCGGAGCCGAGCGGCGAGCGGTTGACTCGCTTGATGACCTCTCGCAGGCGCTCAAGGTCGGAGGTGAAGACGCTGCCGTAACTGAGTAGCCAGTGGGACCAGCGGATAGGCTGGGCACGTTGAAGATGTGTGTAACCGGGCATGAGGGCAGCAATCTCGCTAGCAGCCCGGGAAGTCGTCACGCGCAACAGGGCGATCAGGTGCTGCTCGACCTCTCGTAGCTGGTCACGCAGCCAGAGGCGCATACCAGTTCCGACCTGGTCGTTGCGGCTTCGGCCTGTGTGCAGTTTACCCGCAATGTGCGTGCCGATTATTTCGCCGAGGCGACGTTCATTCGCGGTGTGGATGTCCTCGTCCACGCCGGGCTTGATCTCGAATTTGTCGTTCTTCCATTCCGACAGGACTTGGGCGAAGCCTTTTTCGATGGCCTCGAATTCTTGCTGCGTTAGGATTTCGATTTTGGCATTTGCACGCGCATAGGCTATGCTGCCTTTGATGTCCTGGGCATAGATGGCGCGGTCAAAGTAGATGGACTCATTGTAAGACACCATCAGAGGGTCGAGGCCACCGGTGAAACGGCCACCCCAGAGCATGCTTGCCTGCGGCTTAGAACCAGAGTCTGCCATAGTTTCGACGACCTAAGGCTCCAAAGTTTCGCGCAGGATGAGCTTCGAATTCTCCTTACACAGATCAGGTACGAGTGACTCGACAGTGAGCTGTGAGGACGAACAAGTTCTGGGGTGCGAAGACCCGATGTTTGGCTGCTCTACTGTTATTTTATTCCGTTTCGGCGAGTTTCAAGCATGCGAGCTCGGTATTTTCTCCCAGTCTTTTCTTTCTCGACATGCGCCGTCGCTCGTCTACCCCGAACTTCTGGCGCTGGAGAAATTTTATAGCTCGTTATCTTATCGTGGCGGGCACGTTTCATTGGTTGAACCAGACCGTGCGTCGAAGTGCTCAGACAAACCCGTGAGCTCACCTTCGACGCTGAACGACGGCCTGACTGCTCCGTACTTTCCGTAGAAGCTAAAGAATGGTAGCACAAGCAAAAGTGGGATCTTACATGGTTAATCTGAGGAAGTTATGTCCTGCAGCACAACGCGAGAAGTTGCACGTGCGTCCTAGTTCAAAAATGGTTTAGTGTAGGGCTGAAGAATTGTAGAGCCTCTCTTGGATTGACCGCTTCCATCCCCGCCTTCCACCTACTACAGCTTTGTGTATCGAACAATCGTCCCTCAAGTTTGGGAGGACTGAGCTTTATGTTCGGCTTCAAAGACGGACTCTCAGGCTGTCGCGATGGCCCAACCCTTTCAGAATGTTTACCACCTCAGAACCGTGGCTGAGGCCTCTTCCAAAGCGTGCTATGTCTGTCACAAACCTTCCGTCAAAGTTCTGATCACGCCCGACAACAAGGTTGGTACATTCCCGTAGTCTTTCGCTCTTGGAAGCTTCATTTCATTGCTTGCGATCGACCTACCAACCGCGATGCTCAGGACTTCTTCTACACCTGTGTTTCTCACCTCAGCGACAAAGGTTTCGCCTCTCCTATTGTAGACGCCGAGGCGGAAGCCGCGAGGAAGAAAAAGGAGCTGCTCGACAAAGAAATTGAAAAGATCAAGCAAGAGTACGAAGAGAAACAGCGCAAGAAGAAGGCCAAGAAAAAGGCCAAAGAGGATGACAAAGACAAGAAGAAAGACGACGACGATGACGACAAGGCTGAGAAAGAAAGGGATGACAAGGTAAAGCGTTCTCATCCCAGCCGGTAGTTGGTCCTCAATGTTGAGAATTTGCAGATCAAAGCGATCCAGTCTGGCGCAGGCGCCACTGACAAACCCGAGGATACACCTCGCGTATACGCTCTGCATAGGTAAGTGCCTTCCTGCGAGCTTTGAGCCTTCCTTCTACTTACCTCTGCAGAAATTTCTTCCAGATGCGAATCGACCGTTTACGCAACTTGGAAATTGCGAAGCGAAACCAACAACGGATCAAGGATCCATCTTTTTTTCCTGCTGCACCGAGAGGAGATGTTCAATGACACACGGCCGAGATAACCTCTCGTACTCGTTCTACAGTACATACCTACTCAGGTGACCCGCCCAGGTTTTCTGCAACGACAGCTTCAGCACGTCTTGAGTCAAGTCGCCGATCCTTTGTGCCGAGTGATCCCCTCTCCAAGGACGCTGGGTCTGCATTCATCATGCACTATTCTAGCTCGTACAGAGTAGTGCCGAGCATTAGAAGCACCAACATGTCCATCCCACGGTCCTCTGCGGATCGTGCCCTTGTAAGCGCTAGCGCCTATCTATGATACCCGTTCTTTCACCCCAGTGGACCTGCTAGCGTCATGTGTTGCTTGACCCATGCTCAAGCTCGAACGGAGAGTGAGCGGCCGACTACGGGATATAATTCCGCACCTCCATGGCTGCAAATGACTTGGGATGATGTCAAAGCACCCGGGATGTCGAGCCTCTGCCATATCGACACGTGGTTGAGTGCGACCTCTGTCTCTCGCAATATGCATACAAACACGAGCTCGCATCGTGCAGTCTCGTGTTCATGCAAGAGCCTGCCAGAAGCTGAGGGAAACGGCCGCAAGAGAATGACCTGTGCTGGAGAGAGATCCCGCCTCTGCAGTTGGGCCTCCCGCCGAGAAAGAGATTTTACCAATCTCGTCCTCTTTAGGAGTTGGTTCGGTTCCATGCCGTATCCGACCGCAGTTGCGTACGAGGCCGCAGGCGCACCGCGGATACTCGGGATCCATTCTCAACTACCCTGCATACTGCTCAAAGGCCGCAACTTGCCGGGGTACAGTGTGCAGTTTGCGCGAGATATGTCTCCATCCGGCTCACATCCAGCCAGCCAACATCGGGTCGCATGTTTTAGCCGCCAAGCGAGATTACGGTGTTGGATCATCGGCCCTTTGATGTTCCGACCGAATATACTTTGAAGGATCCGAACGAGGCTGAATCTCATCTCCAACAGCGTTCCCGACCCGAGCCATCCCAGTTTACTTTCAAGTCATGGCCTTTCTCCATGCGCTCTCTTTTCTTGAGAAGCTGCACCGGGAGTCACTCATATGCCTGACTCAATCACGGCCAACAGCCGCCTCAGATAAGCGAATATTGGCACGTGGGCGATCTTGACAGAGCGATGCCGATTATTGCTGATCGGAGTTCAGGCGGTCAGGAAAGTCATCAAGTTTGAGGGGTAAACTTGCAACATAGCAGCTTTTTCCCAGAGCCACGAAGAAAGGCGTTGGATGCTATTGAGTTTCGGCGCAGCCGATGCCTTCGAGTCAGCGCAACGACATACTAACTCTCCCGATGATGACCTGACATCCGAAGTCGTAGTGAAAGCATGAATCATGCGAAGCGAGCGGATTGTGGTAAAAGGTCAGACGGCGTCTCCACCGTCTATAGACCCTGCAGGCCGCCCAGTCTCGAGAATGACTGGCCTCAGCATGTCAGCATCGCCAGGATTCGGCATCCTTTGTGGAGCACACCAGTATGCGCCCACTAATTAACGAAGGATCACCATCAAGGATTGACTTTGCGGAGGTGATATGAGTCTGCATAGCAGTTACTGTGCTGTTCGGACTACGGAAGCTCGGATGCGATATTACGGTGACCAACGAAGCGCTGTTCCCGCTCCACCATCTAAGCGACAAGGCGCCCCATAAGGCTGAAACTTCGAGGACTGTTCATCACGGACGGCCGTACGAGGAGGCTGACCACTTGTTCCGTATCCTATATCTCGACTCTAGTGATCAAAAGACGGCATGCGAGCACTAGTTGGAGACCTACTCGTCTGCCATACACTTGAGAATGAAGCGATCGAACACGTACCCGGAATCCCTCAGCACTTCGGAGTGGGGATTGCTTCTGCACATTCAAGTGGTCGAAGAATGGTGTCCCGACGCACTCCATTTGAACAAGTCCGATTTACTTCGGACGCCGTGGGTGGGAAGTGCTCGTTGATGAAGCAAGGATACTACGCGATCTTTCCAAGCTTGACCAGTTCTTCCATGTGTATACGTGAAGTCCGAAGTTCTCCCAGTGCCAGCCCGACGACCAAGGATTCAAAGAGCGTCAGACGTCAACACGCACCAGGTGCATGAGGCCTGGCTGAGCTCTCCAAGACTGCAGCCAGTGTTTTGCAGAATAGCGGGGGTGGGATTTGTCGAGACAGTTGGACGCTGCTGACGGTCCCGGCCCAGGAAACTGTCCAGTAGTCGGCTTACAGCCACACCTGAGGTCAGCCGAAGCCAGCCACCAACAGGCATTTGAGACGCCCTATTAGCGTGTCTCAAAGTGGTAAAGGTAACGTTGCTGTTGTGGGACGAAGGATCAGTGGCATACAGCAGCTCTATAACCATTTACCCAGTAGGGTTCATGGAATCATGGCCGACAGGGAATGATGATGCGAACCTTCCTTGCGCGCTCGGAGCGTCCCACGGCGGTCGGCTGCGAATCCTTCAGCCCAGCAAAAGCAGAAGGAAGAACCGAAGGTTGAATCTCACAGGCTAAAGAAGGACTCTGCTCCAACACCGTCATCCCACCCTTGATTAATGCTGCAGCGCGCCTTGCGCATACCAGGGTTAACGACTGAAGTCGAGATTTTGCTGCCATCGAGCCCAGACAAAGCTTCCAGAAGCGCCAATGACGCTAAGCGACTTTCTAGCGCCCGCTCGTTTTCGCGCCTTCACCATAGCCATGGCGAACAAACCCCTCCCCCACGCCATCGAGGCCTGGAAAAGACGCAGCCGCCTGAGCTGACCAAGACGCATTTGCTTCGGCGAGACCCTCTTTCGGGGACCAGCAGGTTGTTTTCGGGCTTCAAAGAGCCCATCACTTGTCGTAAGTTTTCCCGGCTTTCTTGGGATCAGTGAGTGCCTGGGCGATGAGAGACGTGGCTGGCTGCAACGGGAAAGTCCTTCTTCTTCCTGTATGGCGCTGTGGAAGTGCATGGCTTGCAGCAAAACCTGGATATGCAAGGTTTCTCTGCCTTCCCATGCATACGTGCGGCCTCGTCAACTGTTGATCGACCGAGGTCGATGGGTGGGTGTACCTCGATTGAATGTGTCACAGTCTTCGAACCTGCCACCAGTAGTGCTCCGCTGCTCATTATTTCAATCAGGCTGACCGAGCTCGTTCAAGCAAGTGCTCTCGGCAGAGCCAACATTCAAGGTGAAGCACTCGGCATGTTACAGATTTCCGTTACTGCCTCCTCTCTTCATCCCAGGCGGGAACCGCACTCCACTGACGAAGGCTTGTTTCCTACTGGAGTCCACTCCCTTACCTGAGTCTGACCCTCTCTTCTTCCCACTGACACGCATCTCGTCAACCTTTGCCTTTGCGAGTCCGAAGCCCGGCGTCACCCATCCCCCACAGCTACACCGCAACCCCTGCCATGCAAATTTCCCAATATTCGCCCCGCACCACTGGGTCGGACAGACGAGGCGTCCGTCCAACTCGCCCTGCGACAAGGTCGGCCTCATCCACGACAGTGGATGGAGAAATATGTGGGCACACGGGTCCTCTCCCTGGGTGGCAGATGGGTCTCGGTGCGGGGGCGGCTTGTGCGGAAGGATAAAAGTCGATTTTGCCAACAGACGGCGGCATTTGCGGCATTTGATCTCGAGGTTTGGCGGGGCCGCGGGCGCCGGCGAGGGCGACGAGAGGGTTATGTCCGGGTTCCTGATTTCCGTCGGTGAGTCATGCTCGGGGTTAGAGAGGTCGAGAGCCTCGACCCTGTCGGACAGGCTCAGATTATCTGTGCGGTTGGCCCGGGACGGATCCTCGTCCTCGTCCTCTTCGTCCCGAAAGGATATATGCTCCATTTCGGGAGCGCGGTTACCACTCAGAGCGTCCATGACTTGTCGCGAGTTCATCCATCGACGGTAGATCTTGTGCGACTCGAGCTCTTCCTGGGTGGAGGGGCAGTTCATTGCCTCGTACATGCGCAGTTGTTTGATGAAGCCCGAGTTGGGTTCGACCTGGGGCCGGCATTCGCGGACGAGACGCAACGCCGTGTCCACGGTCAGGGGTGTGGGCGGGAGGGACACCATTTCGTGAGCCACGGAGTCGGCGCTGGAGTCAGACGCGGATAGGTGGACTGTCGTCGCTTGTCTGGAGTGCCAGAGGAGGTATGCTATTACGATTGTTGCGGAGCGGGACACACCCATCGCACTGTAAGCGAGGTAAGTGTTAGCCACGCACAAATTGATCAACATAACGGGAATTAGTGTCGACCATTGGTCAAAGGACGTAGGTCATCTTTCGCAGGGAATGGTCATCTACTTGCTTGCTAGCCAGCAAGCAAGCCGCCCGTATCGAACAACTTCGCAGGCATGTACACTCTGCTCTTGCCAAGGCCTGGCAATCAATACACCCACATGATGGCGGCACGACATGTCCAGCCTACCACGTGACGGACGGAGCCACGTGATCGGGGCAAAGTGGATTGCATGTGGCAAGATGAGATATTCGGTCGAACGACATCATTGCCGGAAATAGTGATGCGACCAGTTCAGATGGCCCCAACGCGCCCTAGGGCAGTCAAAAAGGGTTACACAACCAAAGTGGCGAGACTTTGACGCAGAAGTGGAATCTCAGCGTGGGGAGACCCCAAAAGAGGCTTTGCCCCTTCGGCCAAGACCCCCCCGAAAGGGGCAGTTGATCGGACTTCATCAATGGTCATCAATGGCCGCATGACGGTTCTGGCCTGCTTTCCCACGCTCGTAAGGCTGCTAAGTATTGTTCAAAAGTACGGCACCACCGGCGTGTCCGATGCGGTTGCGCGCGCAAAGGTCTTGTCTCACATACTGTGGATCGGATGGGTCAGGTGTTCGGTGGTCGTGGCGAACAGCGCCATGCAAGGGAACCACGCCCGTTTGAAACCAAGCCAGGCAACCAGGTATGATGGTCCCAGGTGAGGTGAGTATTAGTCATGACTCGCGTGAGCGTACCATTCACTTGTGCGCCAGGCCAATCGACCAGACAAAGCACCAAAGACGAAAACATGAAAACATGAAAAGATGAGTGACCCACCAGTGAACAAGGACCCCGCCAGGTAAGGGATTGACTCCGGAGTCGTTCGCATCATTGGACGCGGCGTCAGAGGTCGCGGATTTACTGGACCTGGAGTGCTTCAGACCTTCGTGGATGAAGGCGTTGCTCTGCGGGAAGAAGGACAGGATGTTCGAGTCGTAGACATCATCGAGAGCGATGTGTAGATGCTGGAACCCACGCAGCACAGCCCAGTTATTCGCGAACTTCCAGTCGAGGACCGAGACCACGTGGGTGATGTTGGCACCTTGCAGGATCTTGGGACGACGTAGAGCTTGAAATCTAGAATCACGTCAAGACCCTTCTTTCGCCTGCATCTTCACAACGGTCGTTGATCGGGCACGGACTGGTGCAAGCTGAGAGACACATGCTCTTTTTCTTTTCCCGAGCGGCTGGAGAGATGTTGAGTGCTGGGGTTCGGTAACATACCCGTCGATGTAAAGATCATAGCCCGGCACCTTGCTCGGTAGGGTTGGGACGTCCATGTTGGCTCCCGGACCCTGTGTACGGTAGATCGGTGTTCCAGAGGCTGTCACTCCAGCAGAACCACAGCAGGAATCTGCAGGGCTAAAGGTCGATCCAACGACAAATGTTAGCCGCCGAGCCCGAGGCCAACCAGCCCAACGCAGAGAGCACAGGCGGTGAAGGGAAGCCGCGGCCGAGGGGTAGAATTGGTTGCCCCTTTCGGAGAATGGTTTGATGAATGGGCTTGAGAACTCTGTCTCGTCCTGTTTCGCAGCGGCACTCTCGATGAGAGACTTCTGGAGGCCCTTTGTTGTGTTGACTCAGGCTCGGTTTCTTCAAAATTAAATCAACGACTGCGACCTGTGGATGAGATTGGTCGATGACTCGAAAGACATGGCGGCCTTGCGACAAGGAAAATTTGACGAGCCTCGGTTACTGCCAAGACCGTGAGGCGCCAGTGGCTGGTGATGTGCGGCGGCTTGGCATGTAAGTTGCATCCCGCGTTGAATACGGAGTCCGTCCGAAGTGAACGTCATAAGCCACACGAATTATGCTTAAATGCCATTAACCGGTAGGGCAGGAGGGGTACTCAGCATCAACCGAGGTACTGATCGTTATTGGGCTAATTCACCTTCCCTTTCGACGAAAGAGATACGAGTAATACCTCAGTATGGGTACTGGGTATGAGGACCGCATACTCCGTACTGTGGGGATGGATGAGTTTACTGTACAACTCCTGTCCCTATGATCTGCTGGGTCATATCCGGACAATGGACCTTGGAGACGAACAGCGGCACGTACTGTGGAAAGTTTTCGCAGGTTTCGAAATCATCTGCTTGCCGCAGGTTGCATCCCACCCTTGGGTATCCCACTATGCCCTCTTTGCGATGTATGGAGTTTCGATAAAATGCTCAAGGTTCTGAGACTGTCGCTCTGGAATTCTTGCAGTTCGGAAGTTGTGGAGGGGTAGCCTCCCACGTCAGTAGGATCGATCCCACAGTCTACCCTGTGCGGGTAGCGGTCGGTACGAGTAATGTACTCACTGAAGGCTAGGTATGGTGCTGCTCCATGACTTGAGTTGATCTTGGATACCTACCCGTTGCTCTTTCAGCCACTCAGCAGCCGTTTCAGCGGTCGACGACCCGCTTCCTCATCCCTCTCCCCTTAGCGCGGAATGTGACTTCTCAAAAGGTTCACCCGGACGTTTGCCCATCTCTGGAACTCTTGCTCCGACGCCAGGCTCCATCTTTACATTTCTGGGAGGTGAGTTGTACGAGTAAGTGGCCTGGAAACGTCATCCACGAGCCGACTACCTCTTAGAGCCACTTGCCAGAGAACCTCATCAACGTCACCGCAAAGAGCAAGTCAACCACCCCGGTAATCAGCCTTGTCGGCTCTTGAGGCAGAACACTACCCATACAGATCCACCATTTCCGAAACCATGCCACTTTGGGTGGTCGAAACAATCTCCACAGGCCCGAAAACAAGTCGGATCCTCGGCCGAGAATGACTACTCAGTACGAGACCATCGAACGATGGGGCGATGGGACGCAGCAGGCTTGTCGCCTCTGGCTCCTGGATCGAGGTTTCCATGCCCACCACCATCTTCGAATGACCAGGTTGCAGTCGATTCTTCTAGAGATCCTTAGATCTAGAGATCCTTAGAGAGCTGGCAAACGCCAAAGCACAAATCAGTCATCTCGGAAGCGCGTTGGGCCGAGCTCGTTGGATCAGAATGCATTGAGGTACATAGTACCCAGCACACCGAATATTGCGAGAAAGAGGCGCGCATGCAGCGAATAGAAGGTCGAGGTCAAGCGAGGTCCAGAGAACACAAGATGCCTAATTCAGCGGCGGAGAGTATGCAGCAAATTCCAACTAATCACATCCGCTCTGCCCACTAACTAGCCACAAAAGGCGACGTTTTGAATCTGCAAGGCGCTCCGATCGGCCTCATAGGGCAGAGCAAGGAAGTCGTAGGGCAGGGAATTCGCGCCAACCACTGAACATCACTTGCGGCACTGCAACATCCCTCCTGGGCATCCATGACACCGTATCCCAGTAGACCTTCGTGACCGTCAGTGCTCCACGAACAATGAGATTGAACCCGCTATGTGGCACGGAGGCAAGGGATGAGTCTCGGCACTCATCATGGCGGGTTGTTTGGAATCAACTAGTCATGGGATACGAATTCAGCGATGCCCATGCTCGACAAAGTAGTATCCTCGTGTCTGGGACTCAGTCCTTATTCGAGGGGCATGTTACCGACACATCGGCGAAGAGAAGCCCCGTGACTGTGGACTTTGACTTTCTTTGATTCGTGGTTCTAGAGCTTTTCCCAGCCCCTGGTCAGCGCGCCTTCAGCCTATGACGTGGAGGAGCATACGAAGAGGCGTCGACGAGCGTCTACACTGCGCTCTTTAAATCCAAGCGGAGCTAAACTATCTACGGGGAATGCTCTGCAGTAGCCATGCACGAGCATGCAGCAATCGGCCCGGCGACGTGCCAAATGCTCGCCGTGGCTTGACCTTGACACAGAGGGAGACCGTGAAGGATGCGGTGCCAAAAAGGGCAGCAAATACTCGAAAGGCGAATGTAAGAAAGTGCGCCTCCCGAGAAGCACCCATTTCCAAGGTTCCAATAGACCTTTCACCTTCTCCGGGCGTGGTCATAAGGCTCAGCTTGGGCGCATCTAGAGCAACGGAGGGCTGGCAGCATGACCAATACGGAGTAAAATTGGGTTGGCGGGTTCTATTTCAGTTGCGGTCAGACTGATGCCGTGTTTGCCAACTTGACCATGCTCGTGTCAGGATCTTCCAATCATCCCAGCTTGCGCCGCGATGGCTGCGAATCATAGCACGCGTATCAGCTTGCCTCGCAGGCTCACGCCATGTCGGTGGCCGGCTGGTGGTTTCAGAGACTCATCAGGGAGGTCCCGCGACCCCGGCAGCGATTCGTCGAGGTGTGGGACGGCGTATGGCGGGGCAACCGAGCAGCTTTGCAGGGGTCTCGTCCTTGCTCGTCGGACGGAGGATGGCAGCGGGTTCATTGGCCTGTCGCCTTCATGTCTGGTTCCCAGTACCCAGCAGGTCTGCCCTACCGACCCTGAGAAGCGCAAGGGTCAGCTCACGCCGTTTCGCACCGTCAGCCACTATTACCATGGCTCTTGGCTCCTTTACCCTCCCAAGACATCTGCCTTCCGTCTGTCTGGGCTTATCAATGCCGGTGGATTCAGCCGGTCGTGTGTAAGGCTCATCATGCGCAGATGAGACGGCACGGGAGAACGAGGAGAAAATTTTGCGGACGGCACTGCAGCCTGCAGCGCCGTGGCCGCCACCTCTGTGTCGCAGCGCGCGAGGAAGCGGGTAGACTGGTGCCCTGCAATTACGGAACAGCCAAGGAAGAGGAAAAGCACCCAGTACCGGGTACGAGTGCTGGGTAGACAAGCCGTCGGCGCCGAGGTTCCATCGGCTGGACAGATGGGTAGAGTACGAGTCGCAAAGTCGTTCAGGCGTGATCGAGATTGGCCGCAGAACCCTGGGTTGCGACCAGCTCACAGGCCACCCAGTCTAGCCCAGCAAGGCCCAACGCTACCCCCACCACCCTGGTGCCCTCGGGACGGATGCAGCCTTTACTCTGTTTTGCGCTAGAAGCCCACGCCGATCTGGCTGCGTGCCGTAGGGCTGAAGCCCGCCCGCCCAGACAGCCAGATCAACGGGAACGTGAATAATGGTGAACCTGAACCTGCACCTGCGCCCGCGCCTCCTGCCGCTACGTTTCTGGAGCTTAGGCCTCGCCGTTTAGGCTTTCTGGCACTCGTACCCCTCGAACGGCCCTGCTGCTGCGTCTGTGGCTACCGTATGCGCTCCACCCGAGGCGCCATTCAGCTGTCCACCGTCTCCCCTGCCTAGCTGGCCGACCTGCCTGGTGCGCCTACACTACCCTAGCCCTACCCTTGCAGCACACCACGAGGCGCAATCGCATGGCTTTGCGACTTGCATGACTGACTTTGACAAGAACCGTGGAGCTTCAAGGGTTGGAGCGTGCCATTTTGCCATCCATCACGCTTCCCACACTGACTAGTATTCGCAGTGATGAAGTCTTGCTTCCTGCAGCTCCTCCTCCGATCCTGACCCTCTGCCTTCATCCTTCACCTCGTCCTTCCTGCGTACCCTACACTTGCTCCGGTGTCTGCAGTCGATCCCAAGAACACGACTGCACCCTCCTCTTCCTGCTCGCTTAGACCGCCAACGACGACCGGCTCGAGGGGCCAGTGACATTGCGAGACTGCATCCTGCAGAGAAATCAGCGTAGGCGAGCGGCCCTCACATCATACCTCACGCCTCACACCGCATACCTCATTTTGATGCAGCATGTCTATGCCTCCTCCTCCTACTTGCTGCTCGCCTGATCGTGGCTCGCCGGCCCGGTCACCCAACCCCTCTTAAGCCGTCCCTCATATCCTGCAAGACCTGCTCTTACTGGTTCTCACATCCTGCTGTGTTTATCCTACCGCAACCCACCTTGCGAGAGGGAGAGGCCGACTGCTCTCCGCTCTACATCCTGTCCTTACCGCCAGAACTGCTGTAACAACCCTGTACCTTTTCTCACCGGACGATATAGACTGTTACATTACCTTCACCATAGAGGGCGCCACCACCCTTTTGTACGACCTACGACCTACGACGAGCAAGACCAATTGAGAGAATTAGCCGTCGGCTTCTCACCATATTACATACATAAACTGCAGCAGACGGGGCGTCCAGGCACATGTGCATCGGCTAAGCCAGGCGGATTCCCAAGGCAGAGCACATCCCACACGAGGTGACCACAAGGAGTTACACGTCCTTGCCACATTCAAATCCTCGGAACCGGACGACTACTAAAGTGCGGTACAACCACGCATCTGAGCGATCTTGCCTCCCAACATTGTCCGATGTTGCAGTGACGCTGAAGGTCCCAACTCAGAAAGCATGGATATCCGTGGCGCTGGAGCCGCGGGGTCGCGGATACCGCTGTCGGCCTACAGAGCCAGACCTGCCTCACCTCGGAGTACTTCTCGATCCAATTCGCAAACCTCTGACGACTCCTTTCAGCCTCAACAACCCATCGTGATACCTGGCATACGCTTCGACGACGTCCCTCCACCACTGCCGCCGCCCGCCTACAACGACGACCTGGCCAATGGTGTAGATCTGGCGTGGAAGTGGGCCAACAACTATCCCTTCGAAGGCCAGCGACAGTTGGCGCCGATCAAGCCAGGCTCAAGTCTTCACGGCAGCTACCTAGGATCCAGAAGCCACTTGCCACATGCCCGCGACGACGACAATGACAACACCGACGACGACATGGACATCGATGACGACAATTACCATCGCAGGAGCAGCAACGTGTCGACAGTAAGATCACCGTCCCAGGGAGAAATGCGGTTTGGCGGTCCGGTACCTGCAGGCGGCCGAAAACCGCCCTCTCCAAATCTGGCAAATCAGAGGTGAGTCAGCCGTGCGTGGCACGCTTCGTGGAATTATTTGTGTTTTTCCCAGCGCAATACGGGGTGGTATGGCAGCCCGTTACAATACGGGGCGATGTGGTACCGTATGGAATGACGGCCCCGAATTCCCGTGACGAGCGTTTGTGGGATTCCGGCGTATTGTATCGTGGGGGCCAAGTTGCGCCCCCGTGACCGTTAGCCGCAAGTGGCAACCGACGAAAGAGGATGGAAAGGCTGATGAGTCTTTCTATTTTAGATTACAAGGAGAGGTTCCCCTGGCCCAGCGCAATTACGACCGTTCCGCCCAGGCATACGACCAGAGACTGTTGTCCAAGATTGGGAAGTCCCATTCGCCACCCCAACATCAACGTTCAGGCTCAACCGAAGGCCCGTCTTATGCTTCACAACTTTCGCTGCAGACTGTGGACTCCAAAGTCCAATTGCCGTCAGCCAATGAACTTCCCTCGGCCCTCTTTGATCCGGTGTCCAAATGGATCACGAGTCCGGTCTCAGCAGGCATCTCATCGGGCTCGCGCCCTGGCTGGCGGGACTACAACATGGAGCATCGTAGTCCTTCTATCGACAGCACTGCGAACTCGCTCGTGTTGGACCCGGAGTTGTTCCTTCAGCCTCGGGCGGGTGGTTTGCCTCCCATAGGCGGTGCCGCACCGGGGAACGATGAAGTGGCCAGCCTGGGAGGCCGCTCGTACCGGGGGAGCTACGATCCAGGATTCTTTGCTGAGACAGAATCCGACATCGCAGGCGATGATGGGAGCACGTTCCGCAATCTAAATCTCGGCGACCCGCAGGAGCAGCAGGTGGGTCGGCGATCCTCCAAGCAGGGCATGAAGCGTCGGGCTGGGTCCCCCCCATCCGAAGTGGCTCGGGACGACAAGTCCCCATCACGTGTCGACGCATCAGCAGAAGTGTGCCACCACAAAGTCCCTACGACTGCGGCGGCACGCTCGCCAGGCTCGAGATATTATCAACCCAAGCACGGATCTGTCTCGTCCACCGCGTCGAGTGTCAGACACAACTCCTATGCGTCGTCTGTTGCGCTTTCAATTGCCGGCAGTAGCATGACCAGTATCTCTTCCTTCGAGCGACAATCACCGCTAGACCCTGCCTCGCAGCCTGCATACATAACCTCGGCTCAGCCTATCTCGAGTCCTGCCACGTCAGTTGTGCCATCCAGGACACGGCCTACTCAGTCTCTCCTTGATACCAAGTCCGCGGTCCGCAAACTATCTACACACGTTGCAATGTCTGACTCCAGGCTCCCTCCAGCTACGCGCGTGGGCAACTACTTCATATGTGATTGCTGCCCCAAGAAGCCCAAGAAGTTCGACACCGAAGAAGGTTTGAGGTAAGTCGACCCGGTGACACTCGCTAAGCGCCCCACCCTATCCTTCTCGCTTTCCTCTTAACCTATAACTCCCGCACTCGCCAATCTCTTGCTGACTGCTCTGTGCCAGAACACACCAAATGGAGAAGCAGTACACCTGCCAGTACTGCAACAACCGCTTCAAGAACAAAAACGAGGCAGAGCGCCATCAGAACTCGCTTCATCTGCGACGTCACTCCTGGTCATGTGCGGCTATCTCGAACTATCAGGCAGCATTTCACCCAGCCTCCACACCGCCTGGCTCAGCTGGTCCTCAGGCCGATGTCTGCGGCTATTGTGGAGAGGAGTTCCCCAATCTCCCGCAACCCGACTGGGATCGCCGGATTGACCACCTCACCAACGTCCACAAGTTTGGTGAGTGCAACCAAGCAAAGAAATTTTTCCGGGCCGATCACTTTCGACAGCACCTCAAACACAGTCATGCTGGACAGAGTGGGAAGTGGACCAACGTGTTGGAAAATGTATGCTTGCGCGAGGAAGTCCCCCAGGATTTTGCTGGGATATCACCAACTGGGAGTGACTCAAGCCCCGGACGAGGACCCGGCAGCCTCCCAGAACGGCCCATGGGTGGTGCCACGATCAACGAAGCCCAGGACGAGACGTGAGCGGTGGCTCCTTTCGTCGGGATCCGGCTCGAAAGACCCCTCCATTTTGCATGGATGTCAGGGCGTCGAGGGTTACAACTCATATCTATGGCCGGCGGGAGGACCCGAGGTGCAGGGTAGCATGCTAACCAGCTCGAGGATTGCCTGGCGGCCTGTCAACCCCGCCCTCTCTTGTTGGAGTTTCCTCTCTGGAGGGTCATATGCCGCCAATCACTAGTCTTGCAGGCGTGCGCAGAGGATCGAGCCTGCCGATCCCAGCATTTCCGTCTGCTCATCTGGCTAGCCGCCACGGCCATGGTCAAATCCCAGCTGTTGGCTGTACTCGGTGGTCGACCCTCCTATTGTGCCATGCAGAGAAATCGGACAGGCCTTTTCTCTTTATGCCTACAACGGTCATATGCACGACAAGGTGGCGCTACAGGCCTCGTTCGGTCCGCGTCCATGACGCAGGATTGTCTCGAGGTGCTTGGACTGTGTTTGAAGAGGGGAAAGACAGGGAGCCCCAGTGATACCCATTTGACGTCAGATTTCTCAATCAATTCCATGTTAACGACGATACCAGGTGTGAGCATGTCACTATTCATTGCGTCCTGCTTTCTTGTGTTCCACACCCACTTACCATTTGTCATCCAAAAGAGGAGTACGCCGGACCGGGCTCGGTACAGAGATCACGGACACTGGATTAGAAAAGGCGCTGCCCATATCCGCCATTACGACTTGTTACGATGAATCATGCCAGGATAGGGGTACCTTGATGTTATCATACGTATTCTAGGTGTATGGAGATGCCGGTGGGAACGTATCCATGCCTCGAGTCACCCTTTGATGCAGTCGGCAAGGTCCTCGCCCCAGGGTTGTGCCCAATGAAGACCACGGGTCGTGCTCGTTAGCCAATACAGGATAGTCACGGGCAAGGAAAGCTTCATGCCAGGCCCTGGCAGAGCCTCGGACCGTCTGTGGATACATGCCCGTCCTGGCAATGGTCATGAGAAGACTAGCTGCTCATCTGTCCAAGGTTGATGGGGAGTGGAGTGGAAGTGGGCGTCTGGCCTCTTGAATTGTACAGACGTCTTCGCCCGCTCGGCCGCGCAGCATCAGCGAGCAAAGTCGACGACTCGAGGACCATCACAACCCGAGTCACCAGGCCGCGACGAACCTATTGCATCACGCCACGCCCCTAGAGAACGAGCGAACCACAGTCTGCTGCTGCCGCGCAGCTCGCTATCATCCAGGATGACCGACGAGGCTGCCCATTGGCTGTCGCTCTTGACGGCCTTCCCTGCCATACTGACCAGACCCAGGAAGGCAGAGAGCACGAAAACTAACAAGCCACAACGACCGACTTCTTGCTGACGACATGGCCTCGTTGACCCCTCATCCGCCCGTTAGTGCTTACCTCTCCATCTCATCAGGGGGCCTCTGAAACTTCGCACTGCACGACAGGTGCCGTCGATTTGCTCTGAGATCGATCAACACCAGGTCTAGAGACGGATCGGAAAATGACCAGCATGACATTAATTTAGGAGCTCGGTGCTGTTCTTTTGGCCAAAGACAACTTCCCGGCGCAGGAAAAACCGCAGAATGACCGCTGCGAAACGGGCCAGGATCTTCCCTTATGGACGGTCCTGGTTAGTTCGGAGCGCCTCACCACAGTGCCAAGCTCAACCCACGATATCTGCTCGCGAAGTGCCGCACAACGCATTAGGCCGTGCCCTCGTCAGCAACTGATTCGTCTCCAGGACGCCAATAGCTTGCGCTTTCGGCAGGGCCATCCGACCATTTCCCTGCGCTGGGGAATCCCAAATCCGAGGGCAGGGTTTACGAGTACGGACCACATGCCAACAGGCCGATCCATACCCAGCCACAGACGTTGCAAGTCTGGCCGCCCTTTCCGGATCGAGCCAAAGTGTCGATTTTTGCCAATGGCGGTGGCATCGACTCGTCCGCCGCGACGCAGCAGCGCGTTACGCGGAAAGGCAAGGCCATGCATTCGGCCTACAGGCTGCAATGTAACAGTGTCAAGTGAAGAAATCGAGAGTCTTCACCGACGAAGAGAAGTGTTGTTTAAGATGCAATACAACCACGGCAGCAAGCTTGCCAGGGTCGCAAAAGATGGACCGTCATGCAAGGCTAGCAAATGGCACCATTCTGGCCCTGGGCCCAGAAGCTTTACATCTCTCCACCACCGCCATGGGTGAAGACGCTTTACTCGGGAAAGACTCTGGCAAGCAGATATTGACCATGGTCATACCATTCACATCGTCACGTTCCTATCCGAGAATGCACGGCTCCTATGTCATAAGCTGTGTTCTGTCATCTTGCAGCTGCTTTCTCTTCATTATTGCCTGTTTGCGAGCTAGTCACAACTCTGACGTTTGTAGGAACGCTTCCCCCGTAAAGTTTTGGTCGGCAAAGATGAAAAACGGTAGGAGAACATTACCGGCGAGCCTCTGGAGGATGCGAAGGCGGTCCCACAAAGCTGCCGTGCCTGACCAGGCCGTTTTCGTCTTCGTCGCTCTTGTTCTGGGTCGACCATGGTGCAGATTTTCTTCTCTCCGACACCCTCGTCGCATCCACCGCTTCTTGCACACTGTGTTGATGATATACTGATCTAAGGCGAATATGGCATGTCGTCCGGTGAAATCGGGGCAGATCCAGCACCGAGCTGGCTAGACGTGCTGATCGACGGGACCTGCGCTCATTCAGGTCCGTCTAGCCGGCGGTGGTGTGTATGAGGATGAATTTAAACATCCCAATTCGTCATTGCAGTCTGGAAATGCTGCAAGAGCAGCAGCGAGGCCCGAGCACGAAGGATTGACGCAGTCACGAAGTCAGGCTTGGGAAGGTGCCACGAAGGACCGGCGCTGCTGCTCGAGCTGTTCTTCATTCCTTCCCCTGGCAGCCACCTTGCATGCTCTGGGGGGGTCTCATGAGTTGCCAACTCGACGTCGTACGGCTCGATTTCCCGCCATGAAGTGATGGGCGCGCAGACCGATGGCCGCTCTCGGCCAAGTTTACAAGTCAATCTGACTCAATTATGAGTAATCGACGCTCGAGCTCCCCGAGGGGAGTACTCGTACAGGATGCGGCTCAAGGTGCAGCGGTCGTCGAACTGTAGCCCATGGCTCAGTACATGTTTGCGCTGATTTCATTACGTCGACGCGTTGCCGACCTTTGATACCCGCAAGAGGGGGAAATTTCCGGCCAGAATCGTGTCACACTGCGCGGTCTTTCTGGCCGTCACAGGGGACAAATGACAGGGTGCGCCAGCTTCTCGGTGCTTCTCGGAGACTGGAGGTCTAGGCATTGGATTTTCGAGGTGCGGACCAGGGCTCAAGGGAAGATGTGCTGGCAAAGCAAGGCGAGATTAGACTCTGCGTGCCAGGTCTGGTTCGCCGTAGTGGCTGGTTTTTGGTCTTGGGTTCTTATGAGACTTAGCGGACTTGAACATTCTTCCAAGTCTTCCAGACTAGGTACAGGGGGTATACAGATTCCGACAGTTTGGCAGAAGAAAAGTCTACAGTATCGCTCCGAAGGGTAGGTAGGTCCAATCAGCCCACCCACCGGCTTGCTTGGCACAGTGTCCGCGACTTTTCCATCTGCTTGTATGGTATGGATGGCCGTTCAGCAAAAGTTCCAACAATGCAAAGGAAGTGTTGAGCTGCGTTGGGCCATTTGCACGAGTTCGGATACATGAGGATACGCTTGTAGGCGCAGCGCAGTGTATTGTCGCGTCATATCGTGTCGTGTCATGTCACGCCGTACGGCAGGATAGCTCGAGTCTGTCCAAGCCTACCTAGGTACGTAGTACCTTATGGTGCGGTAGTCGTAGCTGTGCAACACGAAGCGATAGAAATGACCCTCATATCGTGCGTGCGTGCGTGCGTGCGTGCGTGAGTGTGTACTCTTGTCTTTTCGTGGTCTTGTCCAAATGAATGGACCCGAGCGGTCACGTATGCATGGTAGTGGACGAGCTGCGCGGCGCTCCCTCGCTCCCTCTTTTGCTTACCAGGGATGTTGTGAATCTGTTTGAACTACCAAAGACTCCGTACGCTCTACATGACTCTTGCCATCTCGTAGAGTATACTGGACGCATACCTGTAGCCACGCCCACATTGGCTGTGTAGCGTGTTTCGTTTGACCGATTCACGCGATAGACTATGTACGGGGACTACACCAGCAGCAGCAGCAGCAGCAGCAGCAGTAGATGCAGTACCGCCACGGGTCCTCTAGAGTCATGTCGGAGAGTTGGTTGGGAGACCCGGCTACGTATCAAGATCAACATCAAGATCAGTGGAGAGTCGTACAGAGTACATATTCATGTACATGTACATGTACACATATGTACAGTGGTTAGGGGAGGGACGTGTGTGACTTGCAAGGACAGGTGAAAGTGAAAGTAAAGCTGAGAAACCCTGCACAGTAGGTAGAACGAATGAAATATGTGCGAAAGAAACACGGAGAACTGTACAGTACTCGTACCCGTATACTGACGGCAGGCTGTTGGTAAGTAGGTACACGGACGGCATGAAAGTAAGGTAACGTGGTGGAAAAGGAGTACGCCGTACAGTACGGAGTACCTCAGTACAGTAGGTATGTACCTCAGTTCGTACAGCTCAGCTTAGCTCAGGGCTGCAAAACAATACAATACAATACATTGCCTGGCAGTTACCCACCTGTATATGTGCGTGCCTACTGCGTCCTGTGTCCAGCGCTCTGTCCGTTGCTTCGCACAACCACACCACTGACTTTGACGTTGGCTGGGGGTCTCTGTCTCAACCTCCTACTGTGACGGTACAAAGTACATGGAAACGCAAGTGACGACCTGACCGGTACTCCGTATGAGGTACTCCGTACTTCGTATAAATATCCGTCAAGGGAAGTTGATGTAGACGCGTTACTTCGTATAAATACCCGTATAAGCAAAATGATATATATACGCGGTACTTTGTATGATTACTCATGTCGGGGAGGCAGTCTCTCATTCAAGTAATGCGACG